TACAAGATAATTAGATTAAAGAGGATTAGGATGGAAAGAAGACTAAATTTGTAACATTTTGTTTTGAAAAAAACATCATTCATTCTATTTATAAATGCCCATCTGAATATCTGAGTAAAAAAAAGAAAAAACAATTAAGCAGAAGAATCTCAAGTTCAATAAGGAGTAGATGGTATGATGATTAAACATCCTCTGATGAAGAAACTAAAAATTATTCAGATCTTGAAGATTATGAACACTTTTATAGCATAATTGAATGGAAAAACTTATAAGAAGTATCTTAATAAAAAATGACTCCTAATAATTTGAAGGAAGATCAAAATTCAAAATATTAAAATGATTTTAAAGATGGAAGTTTGGATAATCCAAAATCATGTCTTAGAAAGATTAAGAAATTAAATATTCTTCTATAATTTGATGAACTGAACAAATAAGATTAAAATGATGATTAATAAACTGAAGTATGTTCAGAAAAATTTAATAATAAAGATAATTTATAAAATAGGCCATATATTATTGTAAGTAAATTCAAAGATAGAGGTGATGAAGAAGATGATGAAGAAGTAAGAAAATTAAATATATCATAGATATCTATTAATCTTGATGATTTAGAAGAATTTGAATGTAATGTTAAAGAGGAGAGAACCAATGAAAAATAAGATATATCTATGCTAGATTAAATAAGAAAAAAAATAGATTTCAAGTCATCTTTTCAGATTATTGATATAGTAAAATTATATGAAAATATATGAAAATTAAAAGTTAATTAATTTTGCTTTTTGTTTAATTTTATTTCTAATCTAATTAAAGCAATTGTAAATAGAGATTATAATTTATTTATAAAATTACTTAAGTAGATTTGGCTGATACTTTATATTTATTCATCTCCTATAATTGAGGTTTCATAATTTCGTCTATAATTTTCATTTACTCTTAGTTGATATATATGTTAACATAAATGGCATTCTTCTATCAACAATAGTTTAGTTATTAACTAAAGCCTTGATTTAACTAAAAATTTGAGGATTTTAAATACATTTTTTTGAAGTCTAATTTATTCTAAATAATCTCATCTTTTTCAGATTATAGATATTCAACACTTATTTCTACAGTTCCTGCTAAGTCATTTTATAATTAATTAGTTTATATTTACAGCTACTTATTTTCTTATTTCAAAAATATCATATCTTAGTTTAAATATTTTGTATTAGTTAATGAATACATTTATCATATATAGGTATATTAAGATTTTCTTAAACTACAAATAATTGTTTTGTTTAAAATTCTATTATTTCTATATATCTGCAACATGATCATAAATATGATTAGTAAGCATTTGCTTTAATTCTAAAGCGGTTTTCCAATTTTAAAAAATGAATACGTTGATTCATTATATTTGGTAGGAATTATTATCTTTATTGTGATTTGTAATATTGATTAAATTGAATAAGATTGTTGAATTTAATAATAAAGAAAGAATTGTAATAATTTGTCAAAGATTTTAATAATGAAATGAATGTTATTATTTGAATTGATAATATCATAAATAATTAGAAAAAATTGATATAAGTTCATTAAAAGGGTTGAAAGATAAAATATTAAAAGTTAGTTTTGAATAAATTTATCAATTATTGATAAAAAAATGAGGTTTTAATTTATTTATAATATTGTTAAATATAATGAAATTAACAGTTCGAAATAATAATTATTTTTGAATTTTAATATGACTACAAATATTCAAGTGATTTGTCGATTTAGACCTCCAATACCAGGATAGGTTGAAAGCTAGATCTACTTTGCAGATGATAAGAGTGTTCTTATAGAAAATTAACAATTCAATTTTGATCATATATTTCATCCAGGAAAATAAATAGATGTATTTAAGGTGGCTGCTGAACCAGTAATAAAAGGTGTTTTAGAAGGATTTAATGGAACTGTAGTAGCTTATGGTTAAACTGGATCTGGAAAGACTCATACAATGGAAGGAACAGTTGGAGATGATTAAGGAATAATAAAGAGAATGGTGAATACTGTTTTTGATTATATAGAAGAAAGTCCAGATTATGTAGAATATCGAATAAAAATATCTGTTGCTGAATTATATATGGAAAAGGTGAGAGACTTATAAAATATAAAAAAAACCGATCTAAAAATAAGAGAGGATAAAAATCATTCCACATATATAGAAGGAGTAACTGAAACATCAATAGCAGATTAATCAGAAATATATGATATATTAAAAATGTGTAATTCTAATAGAATGATAGCTAGTACAAATATGAATGAATAATCATCTAGATCACATATGATATTTTTGATGACAGTTTAATCAATAGATTTAAGAGATTAATCAGCAAAAACAGGTAAACTATTTTTAGTGGATTTGGCTGGTAGTGAAAAAGTATCAAAAACAGGAGCAGAAGGAAAATTGTTAGATGAAGCAAAAGGGATTAATAAATCATTATCAGCTTTAGGTTAAGTAATTAATGCTTTAACTGATGGAAGTTAACATGTTCCATATAGAGATTCAAAGTTAACAAGAATATTATAATGCTCTTTTGGTGGTAATAGTAGAACAACACTTATTATAACATGTTCACCTGCTTAATTTAATTTATAAGAGACACTTTCAACTTTAAGATTTGGTGTAAGAGCTAAAGCAATTAAAAATAAACCTAAAATTAATAAAGAACATACAGTTGAAGAATTAAAAATTATTGTTTAAGAGAAGGAGAGAGAAATATTACTATTATAGGAATAATTATCACAATTTAAAAAAGGGATTGTAATTAGTGATGAAGATAAAGAAATTTTAAAAGATATTTAAGAAGATAAAAATTTTGAAGTTTCAAATAATAATGAATAGTTATTATAAATGTAATAGATTATAGCAAAATATGAATAAGAAATAGAAAGGTTAAAACAATCATAATTTCTAACTTAATAAAAGGAGATAGAATTAAAAAATTAGTTAAGAATTAAAGATGATGAAATACAGGAAAGTAATTATAAAATCATATTATAAATAGAGATTTAGGATTATGAACATTAATAAATGAGAATAGATACTGATTATTAAAAAAAGATGTCTCATATTCATAGAACCTTGACTTAGAAACTTGGGTAAAATGGAGTTAAAGATTTATTTGAAGATGATTAGATATTAATTCTTATTGATAACTATGTTAAAGAGAGACTAACATCTAAATTAAAATAGATAACATATCTTTATAAAAAGCATCATAAAGAATAGTTAAATGAGTAAATGATGGCATTTTTGACAGACGATAAAAAAGAATTTAATATATAAAGTATATATAATAAATATTTAGATGATTAATTGGCTGAATTACATACTTAAGTGGCTTAATTAAAAAAATAAAATTAGGAATTGTAGACTGATAATAGTACTTAATAGTAATTATTGGAAACGTTAGAAAAGACCCAGTAATTATTGGATGTCGAAAAAGCAAAGACTTTAAAGTTAGAGAAAATATTGGCTAAAAGTATGATCGATGAATATCATCAAAATAGATAATCAAAATTACGATGAGAAATGTAAGGAACTAAATTAGAATATTGAAAAAATGTTAGAGGGAGTACATTAAGTGATTAGTGAAAAGCTAAGGTTTCAAAGAGATTGTTAGAAATATAAGAAATTGATTGAAGATAGACAAGTTAAAATCAATGTATATATAATATTTATCACCCCATTATTAGAAATTATAAGAGGAAGTAAATAGACTCAGTGTTGAAAATTAAAAATTGTTTATAAAATATGATTAGATAAAGGAGTTATAAGGGTTAGAAAAGGGTTCTTTTTTAGATACTTCTGAAGTTAATTCTTCATTCAGATAAAATAAAAAAATCTACAAATGTTTAAAAGGTGGAACCAAAAATTCTATGATAAAGAAAATTGTAGGTAAAGAGAATATTTCAGATGATGAATAATGATTTTAATTTATTTATCCATATAAATTTAATTAATTAAATAATTATAAATAAATAACGAATATCTAATGCTATTATAGGTAGAAAAGTTGATAAAGAAATTCTTTTTAATATAGACGTTTAGCCTATTATTGATAGTAATATTTAATACAATTATATAGATGTTAAAGTTTTGAAGAAGCTAAAAAAGCTGTTGATAAAAAAAAATCCTCATTATTAAAGAGAATAAGTTAAATCACCTACTAGATGTAAATCTTAACATTCTACAAAATCATAATTAAATTAAGTTTTTTTGAATAAAATGCTACAAATATTATTGATGAAATGAAACAATAAAAAAAACAAAAATAAAAAGAATCCATAATGAAAAAACATAAAATTGATTATAAATAATAGATAAGTTAAAGCAATTTTTTCATCAATGAAAAAACGAAAATGGACTCCTAATAAAGAATTTGATAATAAAGTTGGACTCTATGTTAGTTTAAGCAGAATTAAATAACCTAAAGACGATTTAGGAGTTAAAGAAATGTTTGAAGAAGCTGAAAATGAAGCAAAAGATCTAAATGAATAAGGAATTATTAAACATTATTAAAAAAGTTAAAAACGGTAAAGTGATGACATCAAGAGAAGTTAGAGAGTTTAAAGATGATTAAGAAAAAAAATAAAAAAAAATTTAAAAATTAAAAACAGATCTTAAAGATAGAAAAAACATAACTTTAAAAAATCCAGAACCTTTAACTGAAAAAGAACTAAAAATGAAAAGAGAAATTGATTAATAAATAGATATTTAAGGGGAAGTAGAGAAATAGATAAAGAAAACATAAATTAAAGAACCAAGAAATCCTTAGAAAGTTTAAAAGACTTCTATTTAAGAGCCAGATTTAGGTGAGTTCATATTTGCAGAGGCAGAATTGCCATAATATAAAGGAGAGTATGAAGAGGAATAAAGAATGGGATTTCGAGAATAAGTTGAATAGGAAATAAAGGAATAAATATTAATGTAGAAGAAAAAAAGACCAGCCGTAAGAGAGCTCGTAAACCTTAAGAAGGAGAGAAAGGTCCAAAATATAGGAAAGAGCAAAAGTTTGTAAGTTAGCCTAGATATCCTGTGTTTCATGATTTAGGAGAAGTACAATTATTGGAAGATGATATGTATAACGCTTAGCATTCAAAATGGACTCCATATACAGGAAAATTAATTGATAATAGTAGTGATGAAGAAGATGATAAAGATTTTTTAGAGAAAACAACAGTTTAATTGAGATCAAACCTTAAAAAAGGAAAGGAAAATGTTGGTTCATAAAAAACTTATTCAAAATCTGTATAAGGGAAGAAGAGCGTTTATTTGAGGGAAGCTGAAAGCGAGAAAAAAGATATTGGAAATCAATATCTAACAGATTAGAAGGAATAATTAATGAGAATAATTTAAAAGTAATTTGTAAATTAATTTATAGTTAAAAAGGTAGAGGATAAATGACAAGTGATGATGATGATTCAGATATTGATTTATGTAAAGCTTATTCAACATAGATTTGGTTGGCAACAGATCCAATGAAATGTGATGTATTTATAATGCCATCTAAAGAGTTAATGGATTTGCCTCATATATAATTATGAATGCGTTTTTATTTTACTAATATAATTAATGAAATTTATATCTATAATATGTGTATTGATTTTAATAGCTTCAGCCACTATGAAAGACTCAAAAATTATTCTAACAGAAATAGATTCTAAAAATTCTGGAAGAATATTTTTAAATGCAATATAAATAGGTTTAGCCACAGGATCACCTGTTCATGAAATCTAAAGTTATATTAATAATATTAGGTATTCAAATAAGATATATTAGTATAGATTTATGATTGAGTAAGAATAAAAGGATGCTGATTTATTTATATAAAATACAGAAGCTTCATGTAATAGATTATTGCATGATTTTGCTACAAATTTGGCATACCATCAATAATAATTTAAAGCACATTCTAAAATCGTTGAAGTATCTAATTTATTTGTAAAATAAGGAAAATTCAAGAAATTTAGAACGTTCTTTAAATAAGATTGCTGAAGTGTCTGTAGAAATAGAAGAAAATTAAAGAAAAACAAATGAAGGATAGAGTGAAAGAGATTTATAATACTCAGAATTTCAATCTAAATAAAAAGATCATATAGAATCTGTTTAAGCAATAGATGAAGCTTATGCATTAATTGAACATTTATCAGGTGGATCTTCATTTATATAAGTGAAAAGTAGATTTACAAAAGTACTTTCAAGATTATAAAAGTATATTTATTAATTATTTAAAAATTCTAGTTAATCAACATCAGCAACTTTATTATTTTAGCCAATTATATCAATGATGACTTAAATGAATTCAAGAGCTGATGCTGATTCAGCTAAGAAAGTCTTATAACTTTTAGCTAATTTAAGAGTTTAAATAGTTGAGAGTAAATCTTAAGATGAAGACATTGAAAAACAATAATCCTAAAGTTGGTAAAAATTCTTATCAGATTTGATTAATGAGAGAAACACGCTTTAAGATTAAAGATAGAATTTAGAATAAGCGATATTAAATTATTAAAGTATTATAGAAGAATCCGAAGGAAAGGTTGAATATCATTAAGCTGAAGTAGAAAGAAATTAAGTAATTATATTTAATAATCTTCAGAATAATTTAGATGGTCAAGATTAATGGTGTAGATAACAATAGGAAATTTATTAAATGGAATCATAATAAAGAGTTCAATCCCTTGATTTGATCTCAAGAATAGTCGATCACATTTAAGATAAGATTGTTACTCTTAAAGAATACTTAAGAGAAAGATTACAGATACGTTGACTTTGTAATATCAATATAATTCTTATTCCTTTATAATTTTATCTATAATCTACATCTTGAAGAATGTTCGATAGTTATTCTAAGTTATAAATTATTTTATTATTATGGAAAAATTACAATAGTTTGTTAATGCTTTCTATCAACAATTAAATGCCAAACCTGATGAGTTTGCTGTATGTAGAATAAGACTCAAATAATATTTATCTTAACTTAATTTTTAATATGGAGAAAATATTCAAGAATAAGAAAATCAATATTTAAATTAATTATCAGAAGAAAATGACTCTTATCTTAGTATAGAAAATGATAGAGGAATTACAGCTGAATATAATGAAATGAAGTATTTTAGAAAATTGGCTGAATTTATTAGAAAACTTAAAAAATAAAATTTATAATCCAATTATTTACCCACTAATTCTCCATAAATTGGAAGATTATCAAGAGATAGATTATTAGAAATATTAAGTTAAGAAGTAAATGATTTGATTTGCATGTCTTAATTTATACATTCTTATTCTGGAATACATCAATAATTAAAAATCATAGAATAATAAATCAATCTTCTAAAATAAATCAAATAATTTGAAGAGTAAATTTAAATTAAATCTCCTTTAAATTAACCAAGTTATATTCCTAAAGAGATGGCAACCTTAATATCAAATTAGGATGAAAATTTTTAATAAGCCTTACAAAAAGAAGGTTTTCATTTAACCAGAATAAGTCAAGTCTTTTATTACTAAAGATACTTACTTTCATATGTTTTGAGATCTGAATTATTTGGTTTAGATCTACCCCCTGGATTTGTTATTAGATTAACACTTACTATTAAACCAAAGAGATATTAATATTATTTTGTAACCAAATCCAAAAATTAATCTGAGTTGAACATTACTAAAAGTGAATTAGCTAAACATTATCTCTCTCTTTTTGTTTCTGATCATTTAGATCATTTAGTTCCAAAATATTTCGGAAATTTATAAGCATTTTATGGAAATGCTATGCAACAATAAATAACATAATATGAATAATTTAAAAATCCTTTATTTCATTTTAAAAAAGATATTTTTGAAACTTCCTATGATTTACAAGAATTCAATTCAATTAAACCTAAAGATATATTTGCAGCTTATCTCAATTTTCTTGATTTCTTAACAGAAACTTAAATTTTTGATTTCAATTATCATTCTAAAACAAATTAAGATAGAATTAAATCTATGTAAATAATAGAAGAAGTTATATCAATTACATATAAGAGAATTAAAAAAATGGAAGATACTTTTATTTACATTTAAGAAGTTATATTTCCTTAACATCATAATGTTAAATTAATTCAAATTACCTAACTTTTAAATCCTTTATTTTTTTAGTTTATGCGTTTGGAAACAAGTAAATTATAAAGTTTAAATGATTATGAAGACTTTATTAATAAATTAAATTTAGAAGAAGTTATGCATAAACTTGTTGATGGTCATTTATTAATCAAATATAATAATTAATTAAGAGAATTAAAATAAGAAGTCGATAAATAAAATAAACAAGGATTAAAGTTACCGTCGTTCACTATAATTGAATTCTTCTAAAAATTAAACATCAATTATGACATTAGTCTAATAAATAGAATTAAGCTATTAGATTATTTAGCGAATAAAAACTTTTATAATTTAGATACATAATTTCGTAATCATTAAGATGAAATATACAATTCTATTATTAGAAACTTTAATAAATCATGGTTTGATTATGAGTTATGGAAATAAGCATTTTAGGCTAATTATTAATATGCATTATCAAGTTCATAATTTAAAAATACATTCCTTGTTGAATTGTTGGCCATTTAATTTTTAGGTAATAAATTCTAAGAGCTAAATTAAAATTTATTTGAATCAATATCAGAAATAGATTAAACTGATGATTAATGTAATAAAATAATATTATATTTAATGAATAAGAAATTACACAATATTGTTGGTTTAGAATAATCATCGATTTCTGAAAGTTCACTCAAACATAAAAAGTTCAATTTATTTTTAAAATTATTACCAATGGAGAATGAGAGAAAAATACGAAACAGTTTTTTTGATTATTTATTAGAAGATGATGATTAATTATAAAAATATCTTAGTAAAATATTTGAAGGTGTTCAAAAATATTATCCTCATCTTTTAGAAAGTTTAAAATGGAACTATTTTTGGACTTAAATGTAAAAATAAAGTGGATAATATGAATTCTAAATTTTATATAAAGGATCAGTATAATTTACAAGTTAATAATATGAATGTATTTTTAATAACAATCTTTTGGATAATAGATAAGATCTACCAAATTATTTGGAAGTCAACTTAAATACAATCATAAATCAAAATTTTGATAAGCATTTTGCATTGCTTAATTTAAAAGATAATTCTCTATTATTAATGTAACCTAACTTTCCACTTTAAAAATATATGGCTATTTCTCTTTATAAATTAATTGAACTTGATTAATTTATATCTAAAGTTGAATTGGCAACACATAAGGGTTAAATTTATTCAATTTATGAAGTAATAAATACATTAATTGAAGGATAAAGAATTAGATTTACAATAGCTTAATATATGTTACATCATCATTTTAATGAATAAAACTTAATTAATAAAATAGGTTCATAGAATTTAGCATATAAAATCTTATTAAGTATTTTACTTCTACCAACAAATATTACTCCAGATTAAGAATTACTTGTACCGTGTGGAAATTATTTTGCTCCTGTTACTACTAATTTTTATTTTGATCCAAAACATGATAATTTAATAAATATTTGTGGATTTGAAAGGGAAGGAGATAAAATAAATTTATGTTGTAAAAATATTTATTTCTTAACTTAATTTATGAATGAAAAGATAGATCCAAAATATTTAAGTGTCTTTTCAAATTTAACTATAGTTTTATAACAATGGTTAAAACAATTAAGTTAAATTGATTTAAAAGTTGAAAAAACATAATCTATATTAATTTTACCACTAAACAAAGAAAATATGATTGCATTAATACATCGTGCTACTTTGATTTAATAAGCTAAATAAAATATTACTTATTTAGATCTACTTAAATAATGTGATCAAAATTTAGGAGAATATTATTAAACATTGATAAATAATAATGCTTTAAATTTAATTTAAAAATTTGATGAACTTTCAAGTACCTAACCTATTTGTTTAACTCGTCAAGATATTTTTTCATTTAGAGAAAGCTTTTCTTTTGCAAAATATCCATCAAGTTTCTAATTAAAAAACTCAATAGGACCATCTAAAGCTTTGAAAATGGTTTTAAAATATACAAGACTTTTGACAGAAGTAGAAGACTTTAATAAAAAATTATAAATAATTAAGAAATCAAATCATTTTTAATTATTGATAAATTAAATAGATTGGAAAAATCTAAAAGAATTTTAAGTATCATCAATGTTAGAAAATTTATTAAAATACTCATAAGATTATAATTAACCTTTTGAATATTTAAACTTTAGTTATTTATCTTATCGATAATTTTCTTAGATATTTATGTAATTTGAATTAATAAGAATCAAAATTTTAAATATATCTTATATTGATACAATTACAGATGCTTTAATAAATGAAATTTGTTATAAATGCAGTGAATTGCATGTATTAAATATTAGTGGTTGTACTGGATTAATATAATTGGGAGTTTAAAAGAAATTACAATTTTTGAGATTAAAGACGTTATTGGCATAAGAATTACCAAATTTAAAATCAATTGAAATGAGTGGTTAATTTTTGTAAAATTTAAATGTAAATAATTGTCCATAATTAACTTAAGTTTATACAATCAATTAACTTAATAAGATTTAAGCTAAAGGCTGCAAATAATTATAATAAGAAATAGTTGAAATGTGGATTTTATAAGGGATATAAGTAATTTTTGATGATATTACATCAAATGGTGCTTTTAAATAATTAGCAAATAAAAAAATAATAAAAGTTAATGAAGAAGAATCATCATTTTAAAAAACATATGTAGAAATAATGTTTTCATTGTTAGGTGATATTTATGAGAAATTTCTATTTACTGATTAATATTCAAGATCTCCTTTACCAACATATTTAGTAAAAAGTGGAATAGTTAATGAGGATTAATAAAGTTAATTTTTAACTTTTTTATCAAAATAACTTGATGAAAAAAGTAAAAAAGTGTACATTTTTGGAATATTTTAATGTTTGTTTAAGAATTTATTTATAAATACTTTAGAATTATAATCTTTGATTTCTCATAAAAGTGAAGATAAACGAAAGTTTCTTGATTAATTTTTAGTAGATTTTTCATTAATAATAGAATCAAGTATAGGTAATGAATACTTATAAATGAATTAGAGTGTGAAATAATTTTTATAGAATATAGAATGGATATCAATACCTAGTGTAAGTGAATCTGTATTAGAGAAAATAATTTAATTATTATAATAAATTTCTTATTATAAGTAATTTATAAAGGTTAGTTTTGCGAATTTAAAAATAATAAAGAATTAAATAATAGAAAAATATTTATCTAATTTAAAATAATCAGATAAATATCTTCATTTTCCATCTTTAGATTTTTCTGGAAATAGTTTAACTGCAGATAATTTAAATGAAATATTTAGTGAAGGAACATTTAATGTAATAAATATTTAACATTTGAATTTAAGTAATGCTGGAATAGATGATAATATGTTAATATCGATAAGTAAATAATTTTGGGAATGTGAAAATTTGAGATATATTGATTTGAGTAGAAATTAGATAACAAGTTAAGGATTGAATCATTTATTTGAATAAGCATTGTAAGTAAAGATTGTAAAAACTCCAATAAATTCTTTAAATTTAAGTCATAATAATGTAGGAAATGCTAAATTTGAATTATTAGCAAAGTTAGAATAATAATAATGGTAAAATAAGGAAAGTTAAATGATAAATATCAAAAATTTAACACTTTAGAAAAGTTTTGAGATAGATTAGGATATATCATCATTTTGTAAATTTTTAAGTTTAAGTTATAATATATAAGCATTAGATTTAAGAAGAAATAAATTTAAATTAGAAGTGATTTAAGAACTTTCTAAATCAATAGGATAAAATAAATCTTTAACATAAATATTTTTTTCAAATGAAATACTAGATTCTTGTTTGATTTTTGAAGAATTAATGAAAAGTTAAACATTATAACATATGGATTTGAGATTAAAAAGTTTAAAATAAGATATTTAATATTTATTTGAAAAATTAATAACATTATCGATAACTCTTCCTACAATTGATGATGATTCTTTAAGACTATTAACTAAATTATATTAAAATTCATAAACAGTTATATTATTTGATTTAAATATATTAGATTAGGATGTAAAATAGAGAACATTTTATAAATTAGGAATATCAAAGATAAATTATTTTAGAGAGAAGAAAGAATAAAAGGAAATAATGTTAAGTGAGAAATTTGTAAAGTAAGATACTTTTAGAATAGATATTTCAGATTATAGTTATACTGGTTTATCTTTAGATGGAGGTGGAATGAGAGGATTATTACCGGCAACAATAGTAAATTATTTATGTACATAAATGAAAAAAGAACCATATTAATTATTTGATAGTATTGGTGGTACATCAATAGGAGGAATGTTAGCATTAACAATGGTAGGAACAAAAGATGGTTAAACTCCATTAGTTGATAAAGATGGTTTAATTAAATTATTTACAGAAGAAGGAAAGACCATATTTGAAGATTCAAAAAGAGGAGTTTGGAATATAATGAGTAAATCTAAATATGATGCTAAAGGAATAGAAAATGTGTTATCGAGATATTGTGGAACTGTTAAACTTAGTGAAACAATATCTAATACTAATGTAATTGTTACTGCAGTTAAATTATAAAAATAAAGAGGAGAAACTGTTGCTAAAGTATTTAGTTCTCGGAAAGCTAAAGTTGATCTTACTGAAAACTTTTTAATGAAAGATGTAGGTAGAGCTACTTCAGCTGCTCCTACTTATTTCCCTGCTGCATAAATTAAATCTTTAGCTGGAAAAGAATATTAATTTATAGATGGAGGAATTGGAGTTAATAATCCATCTAATTTTGTTTTAGAAGATTTAAGAAAGTGTATGTTAAATAGAGATTAAGATAATTTCTTTCTTTTAAGTCTCTCTACTGGATTAGCTAAATAAAAATAGTAATTATAAATTGATGAAGGTTTATTGAGTGTCGGTAAAATTATTGATGCTTTTGGAGAAAGTAATTAAGATTTTGTTGATCTTGAACTTAAAAGACATGAAGGTAAATATCTTAGAATTATTCCAGAATATGATCTTTAAGGTATTATTTTATTCTTTAAAATAAATTAGAAAGTATGGCACAAATGGATTGTACTGATCCTAAAGTTTTTGAAGAATATTAATCTGCAGCTTTATGTGCAGCAGAATCTTATTTTCATAAAGAAATATTTGGAAGATATTAAGATAAATCTTTTATTCGATGGCTCGAAGAAAATACTGCAAGAAGACTAGAATCTAAATGATTATTACATTTTCATTTTATATCCATTCTAATATTATTTTATATTATATATATATTTATAAATTATATTAAGAATTATAATTTTTTATTTATTCTCAAAATATCAATCAAAAAAATATTTCAAATATAGTCAAAAGTATTTTATCATGCAAATTATTATTATTTTTTATTAATCTAACCTAAACCTTAATTTGGAAAATAAGAAAGAATAACATTTTTATTTTTTGTTATTTCATATTCCTCTTTTTTTTTTGGAGATTTATGTCTTTTATCAGGAGTTTTATAATTTCTTTCAAGATACTTTAAATGAGATTGTTTAAGCAAATTATATAATTTATCTTTAGAAGACTTTGATTTCTTCATGCTTTTATTTTATGGAGTAACCTCTCTTGATTTACTTGAACTTACATTATTATTATTATTTTATTCACTTGATTTACTAAGATTGTTAAAATTGCTAACTTATAACATTGTATATTTTTATTTTGTATCTTTAATCTCTGTTACAAAACCATATAATCTATACGAGTCATTTAAAAACTTATTTCTTTAAATATTACATTTACTGTTTTAATAATATTTTCTAGATTAAATTCTTTCCTATATCCCTGAAGTACTATCTTCACAGTTTTAGTTGATAGATGTATTCATTAATTCACTATTTTGTCTATCTATTTCTTTAGATTCTGCTTTTATTTAATTTTTCTTTAATTAAGGAAATCTTGGCTAAATAGAAGGATTCACAGAATTTAATCTTTTGAAATTATTTTCATACTATTTAGGTGATTAAAAAATTTATTAACGTGAATCTTCTATATTCGATATACTAGTCAATTTTTAAGGACTACTTTCTCTATGTGTCTGAAAATACTTTTTTAACTTTTCATTCCTTTCGTTATTATTAAAAAATATGTTGTGATATTTTTTCTATTTTTTTGATGGAGATGTCGAACTTGCTCTCTATTTAAATTTTTCTAATTCATTCATCATATCCTTTCTAGACATATAAATCGGTAGTTTATTTTTTTTTTGATGGAATGCCAAAGATCCTTGAGGTTTTATTATTCGATTACTTTAAAGGCTAAGTGAAGTATATATCCATATATTATGTGGTAAAGACTAAGAACCAACTTTACAACCAAATCCAATTTTATTTTTTTATCTAATCTCTCTCACATTTGCAAAATTTTTTTTTTTTACAAGAAAGTTGACTGGGGTTTGCAAATCAAAAAATTGTTTAGGTGCAAGAATATTTAACTTNCAGCTTTATGTGCAGCAGAATCTTATTTTCATAAAGAAATATTTGGAAGATATTAAGATAAATCTTTTATTCGATGGCTCGAAGAAAATACTGCAAGAAGACTAGAATCTAAATGATTATTACATTTTCATTTTATATCCATTCTAATATTATTTTATATTATATATATATTTATAAATTATATTAAGAATTATAATTTTTTATTTATTCTCAAAATATCAATCAAAAAAATATTTCAAATATAGTCAAAAGTATTTTATCATGCAAATTATTATTATTTTTTATTAATCTAACCTAAACCTTAATTTGGAAAATAAGAAAGAATAACATTTTTATTTTTTGTTATTTCATATTCCTCTTTTTTTTTTGGAGATTTATGTCTTTTATCAGGAGTTTTATAATTTCTTTCAAGATACTTTAAATGAGATTGTTTAAGCAAATTATATAATTTATCTTTAGAAGACTTTGATTTCTTCATGCTTTTATTTTATGGAGTAACCTCTCTTGATTTACTTGAACTTACATTATTATTATTATTTTATTCACTTGATTTACTAAGATTGTTAAAATTGCTAACTTATAACATTGTATATTTTTATTTTGTATCTTTAATCTCTGTTACAAAACCATATAATCTATACGAGTCATTTAAAAACTTATTTCTTTAAATATTACATTTACTGTTTTAATAATATTTTCTAGATTAAATTCTTTCCTATATCCCTGAAGTACTATCTTCACAGTTTTAGTTGATAGATGTATTCATTAATTCACTATTTTGTCTATCTATTTCTTTAGATTCTGCTTTTATTTAATTTTTCTTTAATTAAGGAAATCTTGGCTAAATAGAAGGATTCACAGAATTTAATCTTTTGAAATTATTTTCATACTATTTAGGTGATTAAAAAATTTATTAACGTGAATCTTCTATATTCGATATACTAGTCAATTTTTAAGGACTACTTTCTCTATGTGTCTGAAAATACTTTTTTAACTTTTCATTCCTTTCGTTATTATTAAAAAATATGTTGTGATATTTTTTCTATTTTTTTGATGGAGATGTCGAACTTGCTCTCTATTTAAATTTTTCTAATTCATTCATCATATCCTTTCTAGACATATAAATCGGTAGTTTATTTTTTTTTTGATGGAATGCCAAAGATCCTTGAGGTTTTATTATTCGATTACTTTAAAGGCTAAGTGAAGTATATATCCATATATTATGTGGTAAAGACTAAGAACCAACTTTACAACCAAATCCAATTTTATTTTTTTATCTAATCTCTCTCACATTTGCAAAATTTTTTTTTTTTACAAGAAAGTTGACTGGGGTTTGCAAATCAAAAAATTGTTTAGGTGCAAGAATATTTAACTTGTACATGGAAAAAAAATTAATGTACAAAATGCAAAATAATCATTTTTTGTAATATATTGTACTAAATTAATAATAAAAAAAGTTAGTTAAATTTATGTAGCTGAAGTCAGTTCATTAATACTACATAAAAGCCAAAAATCAATCTAAGGAGTAGAAAGGAACAAAAGGGAAGGAATAGACTTAAACCACAGCATCTTAAATTTCTTTGATTTTGAGTAGAATGAACAATAAAAACATTCAAGATTAAAAGGCTGCATCTGATAGGGCTAAAAATAATATATAAATATCTCCTAAACTACAAAATTGCTTATCGGCATCAAATTTAATGAGCAAAACTTCTTAATCACCAAAATTAAGTGAATGTGTCTTAATTGATAAAAAATTTGCAAAAGAATGTCCTAGTAGAATAACAAATGGGAATGAAATTTAGTTACCAACTGACATTAACAGTTTTTTAGAGATGGAGGAGAGAAAGAGAAGTTTAAATAATTTTAAAGAATAACTTTCATAAAATATAATGAAAATTTAGCATTTAGATTAACTTTAAGCTTAAGTTCAATTAATTGAATTATAATTGCATTCTATTGTATAGACAATCATTTAATTAAAAGTAAACATTTATAATGATTTAAGGATTCCTTATGTATGTAATTGTAATAAGAATAATTATCTTATACATAAATTACTTAATCTATATCTGATTCATTGTATAAGATGAAGGATGATATATTACATAATGAAGTGAATATTATCGAATCCATGTAAATGAAGCCATTTCATAATATTATGACTATATATAAAAAGAGATTAGATGAACATTAAAGTTGTGTTTAATAAATGATTTCAAAGAGATAATTTGTAATTTAATTTAATTAATGGTGCTAATAATTAATGTTAAAACTTTAAGTAGATAACAAATCAAATTTTGATGGAGAGGAGAAGGAGAATTGTTTTTATGGGAGCAATAAAATAGCAGAATCTCCGAAATTCCGCAGCAGCAATTGATAATATATTTATTTTACATTTTGGTTAAATATATACTTTAAATATTTATTATAGAATTTGATAATATGTTTTTAAATAAATTTTTAAATTAATGAATAAATTTTTTTGTGAATCAAATTCTGAAGATGATAATTATGCCCATAGAATAACATTAGAAGTAATTCTTAGATGAAAATCTAAATTTAACTATATTACAATAAGGATAAGTCTAATTGAGATTTTGAGCTTTTAGACAAGATGCCAATTTACAGATTTATATTTTATTAAAAGAGATTTTGTTTCTTTTTTATTACTCATTTCATTTCAGAGACTTTCTTCGACTTCTATATACGTTCTTAAAAATGAAAATAGAAATTTAAATATTTTAAATTATAAATTTATATTTGAAAATTATTTATTGTATTGGAAATATCTAATATTTATTTAAATTCGTTTAAAGATTATCACAAAATTATATGTAAAAAATTCAGGTAACTTTGCCAATATTATGAGTCTTCAACTTTTAACTCAATAATCTGTAAATTTGAGAGATTTAATTTATGCTGCATTAGATGAATTAGTTAAACGAAAATTAGAAAAAATGTTGGATTTTCTAAAAGAAATTCAACTTGAAAAGTTCAATAATAATTAAAAAAAAAAGTATAAAAAAAAAATTCTAAAAAACTACTTATTCACTTTTAAGAATGCTTTTTCTAACTACTTCCATTGATTATATTAATTAAAGATTTTCGTTGCCTGAATAATTCACAAAAATTATCGCATATAAAGAAATTTAAGATTATAATATTTTATAGATGATTTATTATGTAGAAATTAAGGAAGTTATTAATGTAAAAGATTAATCATTTATAAAAGACTATATTTCGAATTAAACTTAAAGATTTACTAGTTTTGAAATTGAAAAACTATAATTATTATGTAAAATAAACGAAGCATTATTTGTAAAAATAAAATAATTAAATTGATAGCTATNATATATTACATAATGAAGTGAATATTATCGAATCCATGTAAATGAAGCCATTTCATAATATTATGACTATATATAAAAAGAGATTAGATGAACATTAAAGTTGTGTTTAATAAATGATTTCAAAGAGATAATTTGTAATTTAATTTAATTAATGGTGCTAATAATTAATGTTAAAACTTTAAGTAGATAACAAATCAAATTTTGATGGAGAGGAGAAGGAGAATTGTTTTTATGGGAGCAATAAAATAGCAGAATCTCCGAAATTCCGCAGCAGCAATTGATAATATATTTATTTTACATTTTGGTTAAATATATACTTTAAATATTTATTATAGAATTTGATAATATGTTTTTAAATAAATTTTTAAATTAATGAATAAATTTTTTTGTGAATCAAATTCTGAAGATGATAATTATGCCCATAGAATAACATTAGAAGTAATTCTTAGATGAAAATCTAAATTTAACTATATTACAATAAGGATAAGTCTAATTGAGATTTTGAGCTTTTAGACAAGATGCCAATTTACAGATTTATATTTTATTAAAAGAGATTTTGTTTCTTTTTTATTACTCATTTCATTTCAGAGACTTTCTTCGACTTCTATATACGTTCTTAAAAATGAAAATAGAAATTTAAATATTTTAAATTATAAATTTATATTTGAAAATTATTTATTGTATTGGAAATATCTAATATTTATTTAAATTCGTTTAAAGATTATCACAAAATTATATGTAAAAAATTCAGGTAACTTTGCCAATATTATGAGTCTTCAACTTTTAACTCAATAATCTGTAAATTTGAGAGATTTAATTTATGCTGCATTAGATGAATTAGTTAAACGAAAATTAGAAAAAATGTTGGATTTTCTAAAAGAAATTCAACTTGAAAAGTTCAATAATAATTAAAAAAAAAAGTATAAAAAAAAAATTCTAAAAAACTACTTATTCACTTTTAAGAATGCTTTTTCTAACTACTTCCATTGATTATATTAATTAAAGATTTTCGTTGCCTGAATAATTCACAAAAATTATCGCATATAAAGAAATTTAAGATTATAATATTTTATAGATGATTTATTATGTAGAAATTAAGGAAGTTATTAATGTAAAAGATTAATCATTTATAAAAGACTATATTTCGAATTAAACTTAAAGATTTACTAGTTTTGAAATTGAAAAACTATAATTATTATGTAAAATAAACGAAGCATTATTTGTAAAAATAAAATAATTAAATTGATAGCTATGGTATTTTAGTAGACAAAGAAAATGTTGATTAATTATAAGCAAAAGAAAATAAATTTGATTAACAAAAACCTCCAAATTTTAATAACAAAATAATTTTGCACTACATTATATAATCCTAAATATAGTATAAAATAATATGTTATTTAAATAAGAAAATTTGTATCATATACTTTGAAAGATATTATTTTTCGAAAACTTAGAGTTCAATCTTAGTAATTTATAATCTTGTATTAATTAGGAGTTATTCATAGAGGGCAAAGGCATGAATGTTTTAAAATTTTATGAACTCATACGCATAGTATCAAATGGTTTTTTTAATTCATTTAATTCTAAATCAGCAATTTCTTGATATAATTCAGTTTTAAAAACCTTCAAATTGGCATTAGTAAGTAAATCTGAGCTGCTTATTGTTAATTAATTATTGATTTTATTTTCTTTAATCATCTTAGACACTTTTTGTTAATCTAATTCTATTAATTGAATATCAGCATTAGCATAAACATTTTATGTATAGCCTCCAAAAATCAATATTTTTGAATCTATAGAAACACTGCAATGACTACATTTACCATATTTTAAGGCTCCAATTTATTAGACTAATACCCAATTCATCTACATTAATTACAAAACATATAAATCATTAAGAATGTTGCCATCTCTAGAATCATTTCTTCCTCCATAAATAATTAGAGCATTTAGATGATAAAAATAATTAAGACTATGAGAATAGCGAGGAATTGGTGCTTATCCCTAAAATGATTGAATAGTAATACTTTGGTTTTTAATTTAATGATCCTAATAGGTTTAAATCCAAATTAAATGACTCTTAAATCATTAGAAGCATCTCCATTTTAGATTCTACCTCCAAAAACATAAATTCCTTCTTAATTGACAGTTGGATATTTTCCTTTTTTCTTATTACAATCATAAGTAAAATATGGATTCTCCATTTTAATTTCTCCATTGAATAGAGATGCAGATGCAGCATCAGAGACTCCTTCAAGAAATTGATTTTCTACTTAGAGAATTGACCTAAAACATATTATATAGAATACCATTTATTTGTTTCTAAATTTAAACCACAAACATCATTCAAGACTTTACCATATGAATTAATTCCACCAAAAATGATAAAGTATTTTCCAATACATTAAGCTATATGGTTTCTTCTTCCTTCTATAAAATCACCACTTGTCTTTAATTAAGCCCATGTCTTTTCTAATGGATTAAACATTCTAACATCATTATAACATTCTCTAATCTTCATAACTTAATTAAATTTCTTTTCTCCTCCATATATAATAATATTTTATTTATATTAAGTGCCTGTATGTCCAAATCTACCTTCTTCTGGTGCTTCTCCTTTTCCAACTCCTATATCTTTCCAAACCCATGTTTAAGTATTTAAAGCTATTATATTTTTAAATAGATCATTCCCAATTCCACCATACATATATGCTTTATTTAAAGAAGGAATATAAGTTACAGAACATCCTTCTCTAATTGGGGGTTTCCATTCATCTATCTATATATTAAACCAAAACACTTTTATAAATGTTGATGTTGGATCAAATTATTTATTATTTTCATTTGTATTTTATTCATCTTCTTCAACTTAAGGAATCGGTTTAGGTTTTAATTTTATTTTCTTTACTTTTTAAAGCTGTTAAATTTCTTATTATTTATTAATCAACTCTGTAATTTCATTTACTGTGCTTGTCCATTTTCTGTTTAGTTAATTTTTAAATTCATTAGCTTAGATTTGATTAAATTATAATCTATTTTTTAGAGTTGATTCATTTGGATTTAATTTATCTGCTTTTCCCCACCAACTTGAATTAGTTTTCATCATTTCTGTAAAAGTTTTAAATCCAATATCTTCATTTTATTATTGTAAAAATATGAGTTTACAATCTCCTTTTGAAATATATTCATCAATAGCCATAGTTTATTAATGTTTTAACATGGATGATTATTTTAATTAAATAATCTTTTCAGTTTTACTTAATCTAAAATTATCAGTTTTGAGATGATGTGTTGGAGTAAGTTTTCTTTATTTGATATCTTCAAGTTTTTATTATTAAGTCTGAATCCATCGTCTTCTCCTTTCTTAATCCATAAATTTATTTATTCATTATTAATATAATGTATCATAAATCATATAAATTTATTCACTTTTTTACTTTTGGAAAAAACTCACTAGAATCATCACGTTCTGACTATTTGTATAAAGATCTAACTGTCATTCTTTTCTATCTCGTTGAATCTAAATTTAACATAATTGATTATTTTTAAGAAGTATTTCTTTATTTTCCAGATTTCTTTATTTAATCTTCTACATCTGCTACTGTCTAAGTTGCACATTTAATTGTTCTTTCAAAGGATCTCTCTAAAGTCTTTGATAAACCTATATGGTTTTTGTATATGTAATTATTGAAATACCAATGAGGATTAAATTCCCTTACCTCTAATAATTCATTTTTATCCCAAATATCTATGAAACTCTAAAATGATTTTTTCAAAAGATCTTCTACTTCATAATTTGATGATCTGTAACTACATATCTCATTTCTAAATTCAAATACCATTCCTAAATCAGACGTAAACTTTATTGGATCTTTCAATTATTTCAATAAATAAGCAACTGTTATTTATGCCATCTCAGAACCACCAGAAAATAATTATAAAAGTAATGAAAATTTTCGATTCATTAATTCCTTTTCTCTTATTAATATCTTTATCTGATTATTCAAATATTCTGTATCATTAAAAATATCAGATTTCAATTTTAATACATGGGTATGATTCCTATCAAAATTCTATATAGCAACTGAAAAGTCAGCTTCAAAAACTTTAAACTTTTATTCTATCTCTTCTCTCATCTCAAACAACATCTATATATCAGTCTTCATATCTTCAAATTACTCATTCCATTATTCATTAAAAACCATAGATTTCTGATTATCAACCTAACTTATCTAAATCAAATTAAATCCTCCTTTTGAATTTTAACCTATACTATTTCTCCTTGTGACTTTCTATCCTTTAAATGAACTATTTGTAATTTTCATTTCTATCTATTCAATTATAAAGTTTTATAATTGTTCCTATTAACTTAATGAATTTTCTGATAAGATAACTTATACTTCAACATCTTTCTAATATTATTTATTTTTCAATTCCTAAATTTTCTATTCAAAAGTTGCTAATTTTATACTTTATTACTTTAAAGATTCATTCAATAATTATTAACGAATATCTTCCAATTTATAATTAAATTCTTAAGCCATTTCTTTTACTATCGTTGATTTCAAACTATTGAATTGATCTATCAATTTCTTTATCTAGTTACCAACATTTGTTTAGAATACAGCTATCTAACTATTTATAATCAATTATATCTTCTCTTATATATTCTTCTAAAACTCTTCAATCATATTTAATGTAAAATTCTAATGTTACAATTATTAAGTTGTTTCTTTGAAGAAATTCTAATAGTTTTCAGTCTAATTATTTAACTATGACTAAAAAGAATTCAACTACTAACGATATTAAATCTCAAACATCTCTAATCCTTTGACTCTTTCATCAAAGGATATATTATAAACCTAAACTTAATTCTATAATTATTAAACAGCTCCCTTCAAATATTAATTATCTTCAATTCTAGACTTTTCTTCCTCTATATATACATCATTTAAAATACTTTATCAAAAGTAAATTTAAAGTAATCTTTATTCACTAAATGATTAATTTCATTTATAATCCATTCAACTCTCTTAGACAAACTCGAACTCTATTATTCTAATATGTCTTTACAAATTCCTAATTGTTCCATTTGTTAACCTTAATTCTAAATATCTTTTTAAATCAATTGCTATTCTTTTGATATTTTATTCACTTGATTTCTACTTTCTACAAACAATGTATAATAATCTTTAAAAAATTCATCAATTTTTTTATTAAAAGTTTCTGTGTGTTCCGCTTATCTCTTTGTTAGTTATTCCAAATCAGATTAAGTCTTAATTTATGAGTTCATCACAAACTAAGAATTATTCTTTTGTTGTTCCAATTCCTTCTCCAAACATTCAATTCTTGATTTCAAATGAGTTAATGATTATTAATTTTATGTCTAATTCTTTATTATATCTAGTTCTAACTTTTTTTATTATTTCTATAAAACATCTATTTCACTATATCTTCTATCAGCATCAATCTAATGATTTTGTTAATTGTCATTTTATTATCTAATTTATTACTTCAATTAATCAATATTCTGTTACTATTAATCTATTTGTCTTAAACAATCAGATACTATTTTAATATGATTGATTATACATCTCATCAAAGTTGGCTAAGATAATTCGTAAACAACCTCTCTAATTCTAGTTTCTAATGAGAAATCTTCCATTTTTATTTTAATNTATTAACTTAATGAATTTTCTGATAAGATAACTTATACTTCAACATCTTTCTAATATTATTTATTTTTCAATTCCTAAATTTTCTATTCAAAAGTTGCTAATTTTATACTTTATTACTTTAAAGATTCATTCAATAATTATTAACGAATATCTTCCAATTTATAATTAAATTCTTAAGCCATTTCTTTTACTATCGTTGATTTCAAACTATTGAATTGATCTATCAATTTCTTTATCTAGTTACCAACATTTGTTTAGAATACAGCTATCTAACTATTTATAATCAATTATATCTTCTCTTATATATTCTTCTAAAACTCTTCAATCATATTTAATGTAAAATTCTAATGTTACAATTATTAAGTTGTTTCTTTGAAGAAATTCTAATAGTTTTCAGTCTAATTATTTAACTATGACTAAAAAGAATTCAACTACTAACGATATTAAATCTCAAACATCTCTAATCCTTTGACTCTTTCATCAAAGGATATATTATAAACCTAAACTTAATTCTATAATTATTAAACAGCTCCCTTCAAATATTAATTATCTTCAATTCTAGACTTTTCTTCCTCTATATATACATCATTTAAAATACTTTATCAAAAGTAAATTTAAAGTAATCTTTATTCACTAAATGATTAATTTCATTTATAATCCATTCAACTCTCTTAGACAAACTCGAACTCTATTATTCTAATATGTCTTTACAAATTCCTAATTGTTCCATTTGTTAACCTTAATTCTAAATATCTTTTTAAATCAATTGCTATTCTTTTGATATTTTATTCACTTGATTTCTACTTTCTACAAACAATGTATAATAATCTTTAAAAAATTCATCAATTTTTTTATTAAAAGTTTCTGTGTGTTCCGCTTATCTCTTTGTTAGTTATTCCAAATCAGATTAAGTCTTAATTTATGAGTTCATCACAAACTAAGAATTATTCTTTTGTTGTTCCAATTCCTTCTCCAAACATTCAATTCTTGATTTCAAATGAGTTAATGATTATTAATTTTATGTCTAATTCTTTATTATATCTAGTTCTAACTTTTTTTATTATTTCTATAAAACATCTATTTCACTATATCTTCTATCAGCATCAATCTAATGATTTTGTTAATTGTCATTTTATTATCTAATTTATTACTTCAATTAATCAATATTCTGTTACTATTAATCTATTTGTCTTAAACAATCAGATACTATTTTAATATGATTGATTATACATCTCATCAAAGTTGGCTAAGATAATTCGTAAACAACCTCTCTAATTCTAGTTTCTAATGAGAAATCTTCCATTTTTATTTTAATATTAATAAATCAAAATTCTTTATAGTTATTATTTAGAAATATTTCACAACTCTTTTTCATAACTAAAAAAAGTATTAAGCGCTATTATAATTCTTAATCAAATTTAAAAGGATACAAAAATTTTTTATTTATTAGAAATTATAGATATTTAAACATAATAAAATCGAAATATTTTAATAATCTTAGTTGTAATTATTTACAAAAAAATTTATCTACTTAAACTTTAATTTTCTTTTTATTTCTTTCTGTTGAAATATATTTTATTAAGATTTAATCTTCATCTAACTCAGAATTCTATTTTTATGTCAATGCCAAAGACTCCATTTCTAGCTAAAAAAGTTTTAAATGATTATTATGAGACTAATATTATAATTTTCTTAATTTGATTACAGTGGATCAATAAAGATAATTTAATTTTATATTAATATCGGACATATTGAGAATAAATTAAGACATCTTAATTTCCAATTAAAAGAGAGCGCTTTAGCTTAAAAATTTACTTAAATGATTTATATATTCTAAACAGTGAAAGTACTCTAATTTTATTTATTTCAAGTTCATAGACATTATAATTAATATTTTATACCAAGAAGGAATGTGATTTGATTGCTGGATTTCTTCANTCATCAATTTTTTTATTAAAAGTTTCTGTGTGTTCCGCTTATCTCTTTGTTAGTTATTCCAAATCAGATTAAGTCTTAATTTATGAGTTCATCACAAACTAAGAATTATTCTTTTGTTGTTCCAATTCCTTCTCCAAACATTCAATTCTTGATTTCAAATGAGTTAATGATTATTAATTTTATGTCTAATTCTTTATTATATCTAGTTCTAACTTTTTTTATTATTTCTATAAAACATCTATTTCACTATATCTTCTATCAGCATCAATCTAATGATTTTGTTAATTGTCATTTTATTATCTAATTTATTACTTCAATTAATCAATATTCTGTTACTATTAATCTATTTGTCTTAAACAATCAGATACTATTTTAATATGATTGATTATACATCTCATCAAAGTTGGCTAAGATAATTCGTAAACAACCTCTCTAATTCTAGTTTCTAATGAGAAATCTTCCATTTTTATTTTAATATTAATAAATCAAAATTCTTTATAGTTATTATTTAGAAATATTTCACAACTCTTTTTCATAACTAAAAAAAGTATTAAGCGCTATTATAATTCTTAATCAAATTTAAAAGGATACAAAAATTTTTTATTTATTAGAAATTATAGATATTTAAACATAATAAAATCGAAATATTTTAATAATCTTAGTTGTAATTATTTACAAAAAAATTTATCTACTTAAACTTTAATTTTCTTTTTATTTCTTTCTGTTGAAATATATTTTATTAAGATTTAATCTTCATCTAACTCAGAATTCTATTTTTATGTCAATGCCAAAGACTCCATTTCTAGCTAAAAAAGTTTTAAATGATTATTATGAGACTAATATTATAATTTTCTTAATTTGATTACAGTGGATCAATAAAGATAATTTAATTTTATATTAATATCGGACATATTGAGAATAAATTAAGACATCTTAATTTCCAATTAAAAGAGAGCGCTTTAGCTTAAAAATTTACTTAAATGATTTATATATTCTAAACAGTGAAAGTACTCTAATTTTATTTATTTCAAGTTCATAGACATTATAATTAATATTTTATACCAAGAAGGAATGTGATTTGATTGCTGGATTTCTTCATTATAGCCTTTTCTAGAATTACTTTCCTATAAACAGTAAATAAAATTACTAATAATAATATTAAGCTAAAAAAATTTCAAATAGTCAATACCTTCAAGTATGGTTATTTAAAAAAATAATGAATTAAATGCTATAATTTCTTATAAAAATTAATTTTGACCAAGATGATTAAAGAGCATTTTTAATCAATTTCTGAAATGATTAGAAAAATTAAAAAAGATCCAAATATGATCATTTTTAATTATTGAAAAACTAAATTTTATTAATTTACAATATTAATTAATCTCAACTATATTAATAAATAAAATGAAGATTTATAGAATATCTAAAACTAATTTATAATTAAAATCATAGAATCATAGTTACATTTTTTTAGTTTTTGGCTAAAGAAATTAAATATAAGCCTAAAAAATGTTTAAAATAAATTATTTTGTTATTTTTAATAATTAGTTATATGATTAATTGTTCATTAAAATTATTTGAGTGTTTTTTTCATGGTGCTTTCAAAAGGATTTAATTTACTTGACCTTTTGGTATGCTTTTATTATAAAATTGCCGAATTGTTTGTCGATTTTTGTTTTTCATGTTTAATAGAAATATTATCTTAATTATTATTTGACTTTTCAGCTTCAATATTCTTTTATTAAAGTTATTTAGAAAGTCGAGCATGTTTATTCGATATCATTATTTCCTAATAACTTCTAATGTCTAAAATAATTTTTTTATTTTCAGCCTACTTTTAATTGGTAATTTAATCTTTATCCTCAAGCGTTTAAACTATTTGGGCTTCTTTTATTTAGTTTTTATTTATTTGTTCTTCGTTAGTTCGATTATTTTAAATTTTTATTTAAGAAAAATTACCTATCAAACAATTTTATTTTTTAATTAGTACTTGACTATTGATTTCATCAAGAAAGTTTTCAAAATCGGATCTGATTTTTTTATAAAGTTCTTTTAATTGTTATCCGTTAAACATGACATCGAATATTTATTTCTTTAAATTATTATAATATTCAATTAATTCAACAAGAGCTGAAATTTTTTACAGTAAAGAAATCTTTCCATTTTTAATTAATATTTCAAATTTATTAGGGGCATTTCTGAAGGATTTTATTGATATAGTTTTCCATTAGAGAATTTCTTGAAAATCTTCAATAATAATTTAAATTTTAGCATTAGTCTCTTAAATTTATTTAGTATCATTCATCTTAGTATAAAGAATCATAAGATATATTAAGCATTTTAATAAGTTATATTGTTTATATGGAAAGATATAATATCTTTCATTAATTTCTATTTGATCAAGTAATTATTTAATTTATTGAGGTTCTTTAGAATCTTGAAGACTTAGATCTGTCATATAGCCTGATAAAATAGCGTACAACTCATCTTTTTTAGTTTTGTTTAAAATTCTAATGGTTCTTTTCAAAATTTTAAGAGCTTTGCCATTCATTTTAAGCCTAAGAAGTTATTAAACTTTAAGTAAATGTCTTCCATATTTTTCAAGTAATAATGAAGATTTCTAAACAAAACTTTGCTTATAAAATTGTGAAAGGAAAGTAGTAGACATATGTTCATTCAAAGTTTAAAATAATGCTAAATCAGTTGGATCTCTTAATTATTGGTTGCTTTTAATTTTTTAGAAAGCTGTTTTAATTTTTTAGATTAAAATTAATTTCTTTGCTTAGAAATGCATTTAAATAATAAAATTGTTACATTTTGAATTAGTAAATGTACGATTAGATCTTTCAATAAATCGAAGAGCACTTAAAAATTATCCATTGAATTCAAAAATGTATGCCATAATAAACTATAATTTAGAAATAATTTTTCTTTTAAAAATCTTACCCTCTGTATAATATTAATTCATCTTTCCTGCATATTAAAGAGTAATTTTTAAGGCTGATCCTATATCATCCTATATAACAAATAGTTATAATTGTTTCAACACCACTACTACAACTTCATCTGAATACAAATCAAATGACCTCAGTAACAAATTTTCAGCAATTTTTAAGCATTTTAATGAATTTTCTTAATCATGCACATCAAAGTAACTCATACCCAAAAGCAATTCCATTTTAGCTTTATTACTGGTTGCTAAATTTTATACTTTAATATTTTTAAATTTTTAAATAGTTTTCTCTTTTACAAAATTTTCTGTTTGTTCTTACATCTCCTCTTAAGCTATAAACTCTGGAAAGTAACTATCATATATGACTTAACTCATCTCTAAATTCAACATCGCTGATACTGGTTGAAGGCTTTCTTTTTATATTTCTCCACTTACTAATAGTGAATATCCATAAAATAAAGAAGCTATATGCTGATTTTTTAATTAAAATCCAATCACTTTTTATATTTTATGTACAGCTTAATAATAATTATGACTATTCAAATATGATTGAGCAAACATTAATTATATTATAATATGTTTTTTCTATTCAATAATTCCTTTTGAAGAATTTTAGCTTCTTAATTTTCTATCCATTTTGATTTTCATTTCTAATTATTTATTAATGCTTCTTTGAAGTTCATTTAGTAAAGGCAAAGGTTTTCTTTCTGATAAAGTGAGTATCTAAAACATTATAGTTATGTTAAAATGATCAATGCTGGTTTCATATATTGAATTCATAATTTCTATAGGTTTGTTCATCGATTTTGAAACCATAGTCAATTTATATTACCAAGAATCATCGTTCATTGATTTTAAAGTATAAAATGCATTTAACACTTCAACATATGCTTCTTATAATTTTTATTTCTCACATTCTTTGTATTTATTATAATAAAATTAAAATTAATCTTAAAATAGTAATGATGAATAGAGTAGTTCTTTATAAATCAATTAAGCTTATGTAAATTTGTCTTTATTAATAGATAGTTCTTCATTTTCAGAATTGAAATCAAATTAAAATGTTTTTAGATTTATCTAATTTTCTTCTAAATTTAAAGAATCTTCTGAATCAATCTCTTATTTAATAGATGCTATTGGATTTTCTTATATTTAAAAATTATTTTAACCTTCTTATTTTTATTCTTATTCTTATTCTAAAGTGGTTTCATAATCATTAATAGATTTTTAAAGCGATTCAATAATAGGCAAAGTGTCTTCTAAAGTTTTATCTATAGTTTTAATTTCATTGGCATAAACTACCAGACGAATAAATTCCAAAATGTATCGATCTGATTTTGATGATAAAGTTTAATCAACATAATTCAAATAATTAGTATCATCATCTTATATTTCTTCACCTTTTTTTACACTCGAAAGATATTTTTTCCTTTAAGTTTAGATTTATTTCAAAGTCAAGTTGTTTACCTTTTTGAAATATAATAATAGATCACACAAAGCAAATAAATCTTTTTTAAATGCTTTTATAAATAATTATAATTTTTTTTCATCTATTGATTTTATCCTCTCCTCTACATTTAATCCAAATTAAAGTAAAAATTTCAACCTTCCAAATGTTTACAACTTAAAACACTTTAATTTAGAGACATAAAATATTGTGGACAATGTAAAATTTAACCTGTATAAATAGTTTGAATAGCATTTATAAAAGATATCTATTAGATTTAGTGCTAATTTTTGATACAAAATTTTAGATAATTCCATTTTGTTCTAAATTAATAGATTTTGAAGATCCTTTAATGAATAATCCAACTTATCATAAAAAAGTGCCAATCTATAAACATGAGGTTAATCAAATTAAGGAGGAGTTTCAAATAAAAATGTAGCATTTGTAATGAAAACTAAATAGAGTTCTAATTTCTTAAAATATTTTTGTACTAATAAATGAAAAAGAACAGTCAAAAATCTTGACTAATGTTCTACATCAACTACTGATATAATTTCAAGCATTTCTTGATTAGTTGAGTTAACTAAACACATCTCAAGTTGTTTTTCATGAAAGATAGTACTTTGTCTTTTTTGTATTTTTTTCAAATTCGCCTTCATTTCTTATAGACTTCTTTCTACATATAATAATTTATCAAAAGCATTAAAATTATTTGTACATTCCTTGTCTGCATTAAAGTAATTATCATTTGAAAAAAAAGTAAGAAACCTTGAATATTTGTTTGCCTCCTCGAATGTTTTAGGCTTTAAAGTAAAATATCTGAAGTCTAATTGTGTAGTTAAAGTACCAAACATGTTAACATTATAAAAAAGTTCTTTATAATTAATAAGTATAGAGATTTTATAGTATTTCATGTCTCCTTCCTTTTGCAATTCAACTACAATAGATTTAAGAGATAAAATATGATCTATTTTTCTTAAATAGTTTGCATCATCTTTTTGATTTTCTAATTTTTTCTTTTTGATTTTCTCCTGTTTTGGTTGTTCAACTTCAACTGCAACATCCTCATTTCCAACTTAAGTAATTAAGTTGCAAATATCGTTTGGATTAGAAGGATTAAATTGAAAATTTTAAGATTTTCTGCTTGAAGAATAACACTAAAATTAAATCTGCTCCTGTTCTTCTTCCTCTCTTAATTTTTATTATTCCACTATAGTTTGTGCAATTTATTATCGAATCCCATCTTCTTTATCACGTTATTTAGAACAGCAGACGCCCATTAAATTATATATTCAGTTATAATTACTACTCTTGTTTAGAAGATTAATTATGATTTATATAATAAATTTTGAGCATATAAATTTTTTATATTTAGATGCTCTAGAAAAGTCCTCTGATTTACTTTCACAGATTAACTTTTTTCAAAGATTAGAGAAATAATCAATATATTAAATAATGAAAACAAATAATCATTTTTTTCTAACAGATTTTTCAAAAGGGTTAATTTTTAATTTTACTTATTTGATTGATGCCAAACTTTATTAACTTATAGTTCTCCTTCTCTTATTTGTTAATCCTTCATCTGATAATTTTATGTATGAATTCTTCTGTAGGTCTTACTCTACTCCAGGTTATGATAATGATTTCTTTTGTCGTCCTACCACTTTTATTGGTTATAAATTTATTGAAGATTAATTTTATTACTATTATTATTAATTTTCTTTAATCAAAATCGATTTTTGGCTTTCTTATGTTTATTATGATTAATTTTACAAAATTTACTTCATTTGATTAAATTATAATATTTAACTTTAACGTGATATTATAAAAGACCCATTTTAGCTTTGCTGATTTTAAACATTGTATTCATTTGATTAACTCAAATTCTAGGCTAAACGCAATTTGCGTTATTGTAATAATTCTAATTATCGTTATCTCTGATCTTCCATAATTTCTTCAGCAGATCTTAAATCTATTAAAATTTTATTATTAGGTAATGTAGTTTCTTTGGACTCATCAACTGAAGAGATTTAATTTTTTTGGGTCTTTTCATTTGTGAAATCCAGGATCGTAGAATTTTATGTTATCCTACTTTTTGTTTATTCTTCTACCTTTTTGGTCTCATTACAAGATTACATGCTATAGACTCTTCTTTTCTGAATAATATAAACCTAAGCTAATTAGCCAATCTAACATTTAGTCCTTTTTTCTATCCAATGCTGTCTTTTTTTGTTACACAGTTAAATTAGTTTTTTGGTTAAATATATTTAAGCCTATTCTTAAAGTTTTTGAGGATCTGAAAAGTTTTCATACAATAGTTTCTTAACATTATAGTAAAGATCTATATAATGAATAAGTTCTTAAATCTAATGCAAAGCTTTTGATCCTATTTTAGCTGACATTACTTTAAATTTATTTATTCTAGAAGCTATTTAAGGAGTCAAATTCCAATGAACGTCTTCATATATTTGATCTATAAATTTTTCAATAACATCAAATTAATCCAAAATTTTTTTCTGTTAATTATTTAAAGCCATATCTAAAAGAATGTAAAGATTAATTTTGATAATATTGCATTATTTGATTGGGAACAAGAAATATCTTTCATGAATTTCTAAGGCTAATTTCAAATAATGAATTCCTTAATTAAATTTCTTTTGATAAATACTTATTAATCCAAGCTTTTCTAAAACAATACCAAAACATTCATCAATTCTTTATTTTTTATAAATTTTATGAACCGCTTAATATCTTGTAAGAGCATCAATTAATTCAGAATTATTCAGATATCCATTTGCATAAACTAAAGAAGAAACAACATTTTAATTTGTAATATTGCCTTGCTTTTAGTTTTAATAGTAGGAATTAGAAAAGTAAGGTTTTAGAATGTCCGAGATACTTAAAAAACCTTTTAAATTATTAAGCTAATCTATGGATGATTTATCCATTGAAATAGTCTGATAAGCTATTTTCTTAATTTTTTCGATGATTCCTTTAATTTTATCACTAATATATAATTATCGAATATAATTATTTGATTTTGAAGCTTAAAATGTTCTTAAAGCTCTTTGATAAAATCTTAATGAACTAACCAAAACTCCATTGCTTTCATAGATTACTGCCATAATTAATTGAAGTATTCCAACATTTTTAGTTTTTAAACTCTCTTAATTCTTGTATTTTTGATTCATTACAGCTGCTAATTAACAGCATAATTTAGCAACAGCTCCACTTTCTTCCTAATCTACATAAACTCTTAGGATTTCTAATGTTACTTCAATCACTTAATCAGAAAATTATTCAAATCTTTTTTCTCTTATAGCCTTTGCCCTTTTCAAGCATTTAAGTGCATTTTCTTGATCATTTAATTAAGAATACATTTATCCCAATCGAAATTCTAAAAGAGATTAATTTGTTGTTGATAAATTGTCAACATCCTTTACCATAGCTTAAGGTTTTGCTTATTGATTTTCTTATTTTTGATTTTATTATTATTAATGTAATTTAGATTCGATTATTTTATCTCCAACAATTAAAGATGATGGAAAATATAAATCATATAATTATTTACACATTTCTAAATTAAGCATAGCAGAAATGCTTTACATAGTTTTTGCACATAATTATCCATTTAAAAATAGACAATAAGCATAAAGAATAGAATTCTTTTGATTTTACTTTTGCAATAATGTAATTATTCTTTACATATAATGGATAGCTTAAGAATAATTGTGTCTGCTTATCAAATTTTCTGTGTAAAACAATTAAAGAAAGATTGCTTTTCTCATTTCAATTATTCCTCCTGGAGCATGATTCTATTTTAATTTTGGTTTAATTTAGTCTTTTTTAATCTTTTATTATGCTTCCATTAATCTTTATAATTGAATAATAAGAGGAAATGGTTTATCTTGGGATAAAGTTAGCAAGTTTATCAAAACATAATAATGAAATGGATCTTGTCTATCTATTGGATGAGCTATGGCTTAATCTATTGATGGTAAAAGTACTTTAGTTTATTCAAGTAGAGAAGCTTCATAATATGATTCATCATAATTAATTTAATGAAATGATTATAATATATGAGAATGTACAGCATGTAATGTATCTGAGCTATTCTATTAATAAGATATGCAATTTTATTAGAAACGATAATTCATAAATATAGAAGAATAAAGTAATTCTTTATATAGACATTTTAGTGATGTTTATTTAAGAGATTTATTAAATTCTGGCAAAGAGTTCATTTATTATATTAAATCCAAATTTTCAATTTCTGTTAAATACTCATCTCTATCACTATTTGACTTATCATAAATTTAAAAATTTTAATTTTCTTTGGATATTTTTTTCTCAGTTTCACTTTTTAATTCAAGTTCTGCTATAAGTTATTCTAGAATAGATATAGAATCTTTTAAATCATTCAGTAATCTATTAATAATTTGAAAGTATGTACTCATTCAATCTTAAGTATTCGATTTCATCTAAACTAAATCTTATAACTTCAACTAAACTCTTCTCAAATTCTTTATCAAGAATGGTTTCTGTATATTCTAAATACTAGGAAGATTTATTTATTTTAGCCTATTTACGAAGAGTTTATATTTCATCTAATGATTTATTAATATCTTTCATGTATAGAATTAAATCACATAAAGCAGCAAAATCTCTCCTAAACGACCTAATAAAAAATTTTAATTTCTATTCAGGAACATTCTTTAAATTTAATTATTGATCTCCATCAAATGGAATTAAGCTTTACAATCTACAAAATGATTATATTTTAAATTTTTTAGTTCGTTTTGTATAAAATATTGTAGATAAAGTGAAATTGATTCTATAACAATGATTTGAATAGCAATTGTATAAAGCTTATATTAAATTATGTGCTAATTTTAGAAAGCAAATTTAGGATAACTTAACTTCTTCATGTTTCATATAAACAATTAAATCATGAAGATTATAATCAAGAGTTTCATAAAAAATTGCTATTCTATAAATATTAGGTTATTCCATTTTTGGAAGTTAATCAAATAAAAATATCAATTCTTCTATATAAACGAAGTTATTTATAATTTATGGTACTTATTCTTTTAATAGCAAAGCGAATAAAATTTAAAGAAATCTTGGTTGAGCTTCTAAATCAAAAATTTATACAACTTCAAGTAATTCACTTATAAATTCTGACTTTTTTACATTTTATTTTTTTTTTAATGGAGATGGACTTTAATGTTCATCTAAAACAGAAGATTATCTTTTTGAGTATCTTTTAGTAGGTGAAATTCTAATTTGTCTATCTTTTGTCACAGTTCTTTCAACATTTAGCAATTTTTCAAAATAATTAGTATTATGTAATGGATCAGCATTAATATTAAAGTAAAAGTCATTTTAAAAAAAAGGACTAAATCTAGAATGCCTAGCAGCATCCTCATAAGTATTTGGTGTAAGCTGAAATGTTTTTTTTGGATGATTAATTAACACCCCTTTTAATTAGACATTATGAGAATAGCCCATATATTCAAGAACCATAAGAATATTATATTATGATTAGGTCTGATCTTATTCTTCTTCAATAATAATAGATTTAATAGTAATATGATACTCTATTTGTTTGAGATAATTTTCGTCTTTGTGTTTTTTTTTTCTTTTTTTTTTATTTGAAGACTTTTATTCAATAATTTATTAACTAGCTGTTTCATTTAAATCTTTGTTAAGTATTGATTGAGGTTGTGTATTTATTTTAAGTGTAATTTCTTCATCATCAAGTTATTTTTAATACTAGTATGCTAATTCTTCCTGAATTTACATATCTTCTTATTCTTTCACTGTAATGTTGATTTATTTTTGAATAATTGCATAGCGATCATTTTTTTTAGTTCCAAAACATATACCCATTTGATTTATAATATCTATATATATATATAATATTAATCAATAATTATAAATAATTTTTTTCATTTTTTTCTTCTAACTTTTTCAAAAGGATTTATTTTTTTATCTTAGCTTTTTGATAGAAATGGTGATTTCACACTAACTGGACTGAGAATTGGACTAACCATAGCTGTAGCTGGCAAAGATGACTTTATTTTTGAACTTGTTTTTTAATCTATATCGAATTCCTATAATTAAACATATATTTCTGGTCTATCTAATTTAAGTTATTAGATATATTTATCTTTTTCAGTCTATTTAATTATAATTGATTTCTTTTTTTCTTAAATATTTGAAACCTTTTCAATTTATTTGTCTTTTCTTGAAGTTTGTTGAATCTCAATTGATACATCATTTTTTAAATTTATTTCCTAATTACTTTAAATTCCTGGAAGCCAAGTAGCTTATCTTCTTTTACCAAAACTAAACAATCCAAAAAGACATGATTTTCTTTGTATTGAAATATCTGAATTTCTTACAGTCTACTAATTGAATTTTTCATTTATAAATTTTTCTGAAATATCAGATAAAAATTATTCATTATTCAAATTCTAACAAAATTTGATTCTTAACTTATTATATTTTTCAATTCTTTCAAAAAGATCATTTAAAATATATAAAACAGATCTTCCTAATTTATTTGATAATATTGCAAATTTATTTGATCTTTATTTATAAGGTATATTTTACCAATTCATTATATCATTTATATTCTAAATATAATCATCAATCAAAGCCATTTATTTTTAAATCTCTTTACTATTTTTTAGAATAGCCCAACCAAGTAAAGTATATATTTCACATGTCAATATTCTCATTTCTTTTAAAGGAAATTCCAAGTATCGATCATGAAGTTCTGAAGCCAATTTTAAATGCTGAATTGCAACTTTTAAGTTTCTTTAAATCAAATAAATTGTACCAATCTTTTCTAAAGTAAAACCATAACATTCATCTACTTTTTTCTTTTTGAATCTTTAATGGATTCTTTGATAACTTCTTAAAGCTTTTTAATACTCTAAGTTTCTTAAACTTTAATTTGCCCTTACATATCTTTTCATAAGATTAACATTATATAAGATTATTTTATCATTCTCTAAAACTCGAATAAATTAATTATTGAAATAAGGTTTCACTCTCTCAGAAAGATGACCTAAATAATGTTCAATATTAAATTCTGATTATTACTCTAAACTATGTGATTAATAAGCTTTAATCTTTATTACTTCCACTATTTTTTTTATTTTCTATAAAATATGTAATTATCTAACGTAAGAATTATTTTTTGACATTGCAAATGTTTTATTTGCTTTTTAATAATATTTTAAAGCACTCACTAACATCCTATTACATTCATATATAGCTGCCATAATCAATTATAAACGAGCTATGTATCTACTTTTGGTTAAAATATTCTATTTAGCCAGATATTTAAATTTAACATAGTATTCTTAACAAATTTCCATGGCAGCTCCATTTTCTTCTTATTCAACATGTATTTTTAAGATTTATAAAACAACTTCTAAAACTTCATCTGAAACTATGTCGTATTTCTTTTCCCTAGCTTCTTTAACTTTTCTCAAACACTTTAAAGCATTCTCTTTATCAGATAATGAGAAATATACAAGTCCCAAATTAAATTCAAGTATATTTAAATTCTCAGATGCTTCATTCTCAAAATGAATCATTACTTATTTGTATTATTTGTTATTTTCTTAGTATTCAACATCAACCATTTAATTAGTTTCCTCATCTCGATACATAAATTTTGAAACAGGGAAAAACTGTTAATAGATTAATCTGCACACTTCTAAATTAAGCATTGAAGATACTGGTTACATCATTTTTTCACATATTATTCCACTGATGAAAAGACTTCTACCATAAAGTAAGTAAGATTTTAAATTGAATCTTAATTGCTATGTTATTATATGTTACACTAATTATGTGGCATTTGTATATAAATGGCGTTTCAAATAATGATCAATATAAAATAGATCCAATATAAGTGCCTTTCTCATTTCAATTATCCCTGTACAAGTATGATGTGTGCTTAATTTAGGTCTAATTTATTTCCTTCTTATATTATTTTATTATTAAATTAAAGACTTAAGTTAATTTAACAATTAAATTGGTTTATCTATTAATGAACTTATTAAAGTCAATAACAAATAATAATTAAAAGAATCTTAAATTAGAAACACTTTTTCCTTTAATACTAATTTACTTGCTTCTTGTAAAATTAATTATTATTCTACTATTTTTTATTCCCTTGATGGAATATTCATAGTTTATCCTATAGATTAAAGTATTAAAGCATATGCTCGATGAGCATCATTAGTACATTGTAGTAAATATTATTAGCTTCTTTCCATAAATGTTTCAAAATAAAATAACGCAGAGTACTTCATTTCATTAAATAAATCATTTTCATTTGGTTTTATTTTTTACTTTTTTTATATTTTAGGTTATCTAGTTTCAAATTTATGTAATTCATTATCTTCTTCATTAATTAAATCAACTTATTAAATATTATTTACTTTTATTATACTTTCATTTTATAATAGCATTTATTCCTTTAAATCCTCTAATTTTTCTTTTTGTTAGGCTTCATCTTAAATTTGTTATTCTAAAGTTATTAATAATGTTTTAATTTCCTCTAATATATAATCAAAGTTTTCCCTGCTTATTGGCTGACATTTTAATCTTATAAGTTCATGTATTAATTTATCTGTTCCTTCAGCATCTAATTAATTCATTGCAAACTCTACATATTTTTAATAATGAGCATCAGAATTTTTCTTCTTTCTTCTAATTTTCTTAATATTTCCTATAGAATTATCAACATTTTTAAAAAGAAGAATTATATCACATAATGCTCCAAAATCTTTCTCAAAATCTTTTATAAAAAATTTAAACTTTTACTCACTTACAGATTGTAAAAGCTATGTTACATCTTCTTAATTTGAAAATCTTATTAAAGTTTACAATCTTGCAAATGCTTATAATTTAAATTTTCTATTTTTCATTGTATAGTATATTGATCTTAATGTAAAATTACATCTATATGTAAATGCTTTATAACAATTATAAAAAATTGAAGTAAGATCTAGACATAATTTTAAAAATAATAGATGAGATAACTATTTTTTTTCTTTAATCAAATAATCTTATAGTTCTAAAAGATTATAATCTAAATATTCATAAAATATAGCAATTTTTTAAACTGATTGTTCATCTAAAGAAGGTTTTTAATCAAAAAGGAAATAAACTTCAGAAATGTTAACTAGATAATGTTTTAATTTTGGCATTTATTATTAGACCATTAAGAAAAATAATAATTAATGGAAACGTGGACATAATTCCAAATCAAATACATGCATAATTTCAAGCATTTCTGAAACAACTTCTGTTTAAACTTTAACTTTTTGTTTTTTTGGTGATCTTCTTGGGCTATTTAAATTAGAATGTGAATCATCTTATTTCAATGGACGTATTTAAAATGCAGCAGGTAAAATAGCTTATTCTTTTTTTCTTTTTAGAGTTCTTTCTACTTCTAAAAGAGTATCAAAAGATTATCTGTTTGTATTTAATGATTAATCTGTATTAAAATATGTATCGTTTCTAAAAAATATATCATAACTTGAATTTGATGATGCTTCTAAATAAGAGAAAGGTTTGATTGTAAATGGTTATTCTGGTTCAGACGTAACTATAGCTTTGCATTTTATATCATATTAAAAATCTATATGACTTGCATTTATGATGAAATCATAATAAATAGAAACTTCATCATTTTTAGGTATAAGAATGTAGTAATTTATTTTAATGCTTTTGTATTCGATGACTTTAAGATAATTTTCATCCCTTTTTGTCGTTTTTTATTTTTATTATTTTTTTTCTTACTTATCCTCTTCTTCTTCGCTTTTTTGATTTATTCCCTTATATTCTTCTCTTTTTTACTCATTTATCTTTGGTTCAAACTATTCAATAATATCCTAACACTCTTATTAACCATTCTCAATATTTGATATTTCTTCTTGTTCCTCAACAGCCCTTTTAATTTAAGTTTAGATAACAGCTTCTTGAGTTTTTTGTTAACTAATACAGCAACCCATAATATTTAGTGATTTTAATATAAGAATTTATTAATAATCTGACATAAAACATGTTAAGAGTTTAGCAATCATTTTTATATTTTGAAATTCTGGAGTAAGAAATAATCTCATTAAATTAACAAAATCTACTAGTTCTTGTGAAAACAAAAGCCTTCATTGATATAAAAAATATACTATGTTAATATATATCAATTTACTTCTTCAATATAATCGCATTTTTTTTCAAATACCTATTTGTTAAATTCAAACAAAATTTTAAAAAATCAATCCATAAGAAATTATAAACTTAACATATATTAAATTAATAAGTATAATCCTTATTTAATTATAAAAATACGAACTATTGATTGCATTTTTACTTATTTGATTTCACGAAAATTGAAGAACAAGAAAATTATTGATTTATAAGTACTTTTGACAGTCAAAAATCTTCTATTATTTGAGCTAATAATATTAAAATTATAATATCAAATTCAAATTTTATTGATTTTTTATTGTTTCTTTATTTTTATTTATTCTACTCAAAGTTTTTATATTTTATTCATTCAAAAATACCTACTATCTAAGCTTTAAATAAATTTAAGTTAATAGATATTATTTTTATCGGTTTGGCAGTAAAATGAAATGAAAAATTGTTTAACTTTATATATTAATTTAGTCTTAGGAATACAAAAAAGAATGGCATAAACATATTTTTATCAAATATTTTAAGTATTTTTAAGTTTTATTTTTAAGAATGTTATATTATAGATAATATTTTATTACAATCAATTTCATAGTTTAAATTGTTTAATTTCAAAATATTATTAATAAAAAATGAATAAATTTATCATTCACTTTAATTCTAAATGAAAATCAAGTATTTGATCTTTATGATATAGAATTAAAACTAATTCAAAAAAAAAAAACTAAATAAACACAACAGAAATTTAATAAATAACTTAAGAATTTTTAATGAAGATTTTAGATGAAAATAAATCTAGTTTGCAAATAACAACTCCAAAAAGGAGATTGTCATATAAAATATAGTTACTAAATATAAAATTAAATGATAAGTTTGATTAGAAATTAGAAATTTGTTTAGGATATATAATAGTAAATTGATATAAATATATTATACAATATTAATAATATTCAGTTATGAAGAGTTCTTTTAGAAAGAGGGATTGTCCATTTTGTTAAAAATTAAAAAGATCAAAAAATGTCAAACATTTATACGCATATTTAATAAATAGTGTATCATTCATTAAAGATTGAGAAGGCCTTGTACACTAAATATTCATAATAAAAAGTCAAAAATTTTGAGGACTTTTTTTCAGCAAAACCAGTAAAGTGGATCATTGATTTCAAAGATAACTTACATGTAAAGGAGAATGATGAATATTTAAAGAAGTAATTCGATTTAGTAATATGATTATAGTTATTATCCAATTACATAATAATCAAATCAATTTAAACAATTATTAGAATATTACAAATATCATAAAGATATACCAAGAATGTTTTTTGGATTCTTAGCTGATATTGCTAATTACTTTTATGAGAAAAAAAAGTAATAATCCAAATAATATAATTAATAGAAAATATGAATATAGAAGAATCAAAATTTAATTAGGAATTCCTTATGAATAATCTAGTTTGAGTACATGTATAGTATTTACTGTAATAATAGAATATGAAAAATTAAATGAAGATGTCTAAATGTTAAATAGTATAACAAAACTAAGTGAGAAATCAGCAAAATCCCTTTTAAAATAAATAATTAAATTCTAAAAGGATGACGATTAGATTGTAAATAGTTTTTATTATTATTTTAGAATATTGATGAAACATGGCTTACTATGTAATAATAAATTTAAACCGAAAAAAATAATTAAAAACAATTAACAAAACAACCAACTTAAAATTTGAAATTATTAAAATAATTAGTCATAAGAAACAATTAAATAAATAAAGATAAATTTAAATTAAATTTACCAATTCATTTGATGAATGGAAAGATTTTAGCTAACATTAGAAATTCCTAAAAATAATCTCCTGAACGTCCTCATCCAACCTAAAAATCATCTTCATAATAACACATAAATAGTAGTTAAGAAGAAATTGAATTTTAAAAATTAATGAAAACTAAAATAATAAAATTATCTTAAGATAATAAAATAAAAATTCAAAGAATATTCTCGAATAAAGTTGATTAAAATAATATAAATAATAATTAAGCTAAACATAGTAGTGCTCACTTTATTACAAGTACTAGAAGTGTTTCATCAGAATAATTAAAAACAGAATAGATGCGTTTAAGTTAAATTATTAATACAGGTGGAAAAAATTAAAGTTAACCTAAATTATTTAACTACATTAAACCTGTTCATAAGAAATCTGCCTCTCAATAATTATTATAAACAGAATACACACCAGCTAAGAGGGATTCTAAACTAATTAAAATTTATTCTAATAATTTTTGTAACAAAATTAAAACTTAACCAAAAAAAACTCCAGAAAAATTAAGGCAATTTTATAAAGCAAGTTCTTAAACATCTCAAAATAGTTCTTAAAAGAATCTTATGAAAAATCTCGACAAACTTTCCTCTTTTTAACAATTTAAAATCATGTTGGAGAGTCCTCAACCTAAAAATAAAAAAAAAATATAATTACATAATACAGATACTATTAGATTATAAACAGAATATAAATAAATAACAAAAAGACAATCTATTACATTAACACATAATAAAATTAATGGCAAAATAGTAATGAAAAAATAATGAATTCTTTTTAGAAATTATATAAATATTCATAATCAACAAACTTTTTTATTTTAATATCCTTCTTTAATATCTTATCTAAATTTTATATTTGATGGACTATTCATTTTATTTTTGTAAGATTATAGTTCTTTCTCAAAATTTTAACTTGACATAGGAATATGTCTACATTATTCTTTCTAAGATTTATAACAAATATAGATATACAATAAAATTTATTTATTGATGTTATGAGGCATGATTTTATGGAGTTCCAAATTGATCTTTATTTAATTTTTTACTAAAATTTTTATTATGTTAATGAAGAGGTTATTAAAATACTAAATCATTTTCAAATTTTTTGATATCAAAATCTTCTATTTTTAATTTCATCATATTTTTTAATTTCTCAATTTAATTTTATAATGAGATTACTAAAAGATTAGATTATTCTAATTAAATCTATTAACTTTGAAAATTGTCTTTTAAATCCATAATTTCTGTTTCCTTACTCTTTATAATTTTATTTAACTTAGATTCAGATTCTTTTTGTTGTTCTTTATAAGAATTAAAAGCATTAATAAGTTGATTATATGAATTTTCACTTGTAAATTAATCAGAAATATTCTATTCAAGTAAATTAATAGTTTTTCTTAGTTGTGCTATACATTATTTTTGGTTGTCTATAGTTGTTTATTAATCATTTAAAGATTTTTCTAGAATTTTAATTGGAGATTAATTATTGAGTTCCTCAACTTATAGTATTAATTAATTATTTTCTTTTTTTTCTTCCATTAATTAAATTTATAAACGAGTGATTTCTTATTTTTAATTATTAAGTTCAATTTTTAATTATTTAGTTTCAAGTTCGTTGTGAATAGTTTATGAATTTTTTAGGGTTTCTTTTAGCTTTTGAGATTCTTTATTATATTATTCAATCTATAGAAATAGATTTTCTAACTCTTATTGCTATTAAAAATTAGTTTCTTTAAGCTATTAATTCTTTAGTAACAAGTCTTCAATCTTTTATTTCTATTCTTCTATTTAACGTAAATAGGATGTTTTTAAATTTTATTATTCTTCTCTCTTTTCTTATAGATGAGCCTCATTTAAATTTAATTTAGCAGTAAGTTCATTAATCAAATTAACCTTTTTTTTAAGAACATCATTAAGTTTTTCAATTTCTGCAATAAATGCTTCTATCTGTATTTTTTTGAGCTGTAGAATTATAATATAATGTTACTCCTTTATCATTAGAATTTTATGCTGGTGTATAAGTTTTAGTAGTACAAAAGTTGTCAGCTGTAATTCTGCATGGTGATATAGATCCAGTTTATGTGTGAAATTATTATCTTTTAAAACTTGAAGACTAAAAAATCAATTAAAATATTATACATATGTATTTTGAAAGTCTTGGGAAACTTTTGTTTTCACTATTCTGTTGGAGTACATAGATAGACAAATATTTAATTATTTAACAACTAAATTTTTACAAATATTTTCTGTTAAATGTTCAAAGAATCATTTATAGAATTGAGTATCTATTTGGAATTAAAAATGTTAAATAGATATAGATATATAGTTGTATTAAGCTAAAATGAATTATCAATAATTAAATACTTTCTTGATCTGAAATACTATTATGAATTTCTAAATTAGGAAAGTTTAAATAAAGAAAATTCAATGAACTTATCTATAAGGATTAATTTAAAATTTACTCTTCTTATGATATTTTTTATTACATATATTAATATAAATATTTTATTTATGAATCAACAGTCTATAAAATATCTGATTAATTAGATTAGAAAGGTTAACAGTTAAGATGATAAAACAATAGGAGAAGTATCAAATAAAATTAAATATATGAAAAGTTTTTATAACTAGTTAGATAAATGTATGACGTAAAATAGAAAGGAGATTGCATGAATTTGATAGCGAATGGTTTTGCAAGTGTTCTTTTAGAGATAATCTTTAAAGTATTATGATTAATTTGAAAGTAGTTTAACTTAATTGATGAAAATGATAGAATGGAAGCATTTATATTTTATAGAGATCTTTTACAATACGAATTTTAAAATGCAGATCGATAATTAAGAAAATCAGATGATTAATTAGAATCATATAGATTAATTAAATTATTGCCTAAGTAATTATATGAAGTACTTAAAATCTAATCATATTTAGCTTTTTTTAGATGATGGTGATGGAACAACTATTTTTACTAATTTATGTAGAGAATGGAATACACCCAATTTGGTTTGGACTTAAACAATGATCAAAGAAATGCTACTTATTTATATTGAGTATATTTTTAACCTTATTGAAGATATAACAATTAAATTTTGAAAAAGCCATCTTGTGATTATAGTTAGATTTTTCCAATTAATTCACCATTGTAATTTTAAATGAATAATATATAGATTTCCAGAATTAAGAAATGAGACATTTGTTGAAAATATGATGCTCAAAGAATATAATATCTAACCTAATTGGTAAACTGATGAAGGACTTATTGAATTTATGAAAGAATTAATTGAATCAATCAATTAATCACTTAAATTATATTTAGAAGGAAACTTCACTAATTCTGAATTCTCTATCAGACAATTTGAAAGATTAACTTGCAAATTATTAACTCAACTTACATCATTTGAATTAGCTTTAGAATAGTATTTCTTTAATTCGTAACATCCAGAATTTGAGTAGGAATTAAAATTATTAGAAGATTATGATTAATCTTAAATCAATAAATTACTTAAAGATTAATAAGATAATATCCCTCCTATGATCATTGAAAGTATTTGGAAATGGTTAGAATTAATTAATATTGATCACATTACTATCCATCCATTAATTAAATCTTGCTTAATTCAAATCCATTATATACTTATTTAATCAGAAATAGCTTTGATTTTTCTGGATTAAATTGATACTCTTAGTATATCTTTAAATATTTGTCTGAAAATTTTAAATAGTCAATAACATAAATGTAATTTTTAAATAATATTAAAAAGATGATAAATTTTTAGCATTAGTAACCATCTGTGATATGATAACATTCAAGAATTTTATTACAAAATTAGACTCAAAACATTTTAATTAAATATTGTCAATCTATTAAATTGTTATTTAAGATGATTAATTGATAATCAATGCTTTTAAAAATTTAATTGCACTTCTATATACAGATTCTTCTATATCTACTGATTTCAATAAATTTTTGCTTCAATAAAAAGTACCAATCAAATCAAGTGATCTCTAAATATTATAAAATAAAGATTTTAATTAATTCAAAATCTGGAGGAAATAATTTGATGAGAATTATAAAATATCTACATATGAAGAATTACCATAAATTTCTAAAGGATATCCTATATTTCCTATTATTTCTTAATGTTCAATTTAATAATTACCACATAAATCTGACATTTTAGAAAACAGATTGAAAATGATAGAAAAATATTATGATGAATATGTATCCAATTTATAATCTGGAAAAATTGTAGATGTTAATATGAATTTAAATTCGGAATATGAACCTTAGACAGAGTAAATTTCACTAAGATAATCCTCATTAGGAAAAGAATAATCAGATGATATATTGATTGGTGATGATGAAATATTTTCATGAAAATGTAAATTAATCATATTTTAGAAGTACTAAAATTTTATTTTCTTTTATCTCATTTTTAATAATTTTCTTTGATATCATATAATTGAGAAAGTAACATTTAGCTACGTTAGTTAATCATATTTCTTTTTATAAATATCTTAAATTATTCTTTTAGGATGATTAATTCATAATCCTTCAGTGTGAAAAAGTTTCTAAAAATGATAATAGTAAAAGAATTTACCCGATCTTATTAATTATTTTTTATTTTGATCTTTCTAATTCTTAGGCATTTTTAGAATTTATCTTATAATATTCTATTTTAAATTTTTATATCTTCTCTATTATTATAAATTATACTGACTTCTATTATTTCAAATCTTGAATGTTGTTTTTCATTAAATTGATTGAGAAATCTGTTTCCAATTTTGAATGAGAGCAATTAATATAAAAAAGAATAAAAATTTAATTTTTGAGTCATTAAGATATATTTAATTAATTTATTTTAACAAAAATATATATAAATTTTGCAGTAGTAACAATATAGTATTTAACCAATTATAATTGAAGTTTTTAAAAACAAATTAATTTATTCTAGAAATTATCTAAAATATAAGAATTTATAAAAATACTAAAACATGTAATAATATTCAGTTATTAAAAAATACCTAAAAATTACTATTTATATAAGAAAACTAAGAATTTTAAATCTAGAAATTGTATGTAAAAATTAATAACACTTATGTATAAATATAGATTGAATAATTAAAATTGTAATCATCATATACTTCATTCTATTAATATTTCTAAGTTTTTTACTAATAGAATTCATTTCAATGATTTATATTTTAATAAATTCAATATTTAAGATTTTATAAATGTTATTCCAATTATTTTGAATGATATTTCTCTTTTAATCCGTCTAAATTTAAGACTCCTCTCCAAATAAATTTACATTCCTTAAAAACAGCCATATTGAATGGCCAAATTCCAAATGATTCATCAAATATATTTTCAGGATATTAATCCTAATAGATTTCTAAATCTTGAGGAATATTAAATTAATCCTAAAGTATCTAAGACATTTTCTATCTATCATTTTAAGATTTGTGTTATGGATATTCATATTCATAGAATCCAATAGGCCATCCATCCAAAAATTTACCTTCCTCATCTCTTTCAACAAAATGAGCCTCCCTTACATAGATAATAATGCATTTGCAAATATCATTGTACTTTTATGTAAATGCAATATAATCAGAGATAGCTTCACGATATGGAGGTCATGTAATACTACCAGAATAAACAACAAGAAGTCTATTCTCTTTATGACACTGTATCATTAATTTTAATAGTGAAACTTTCTTGTTTTCTAAATTTACTAATTAAATATCAGGTGGCTCTTAATTTAAAGCTACTCTGCATCCTTTCATTACATTATTTCTCCAAAAGAATACTTAGTTTTTCAATTCAGGATCATTTCTGAATTTCTAAGTTAATACATAATATAATTTATGATTTGTAGGACAATCATCATATCCATATTATTTAAATATTTTTGAACGAATCATTTCTTCTACATTACCAGAATATGATTTATACAAATCTTAATAGTTCTTATCCAATCTCATTTACTAATTATATAAAATATATATGTAACTTATTCTTTCAATATTATTTCAAAGAATACTTATTTATCATCTGGAATCAATTTGATATTTTTATCCTTTGATTCTTATTAAATCTCTTCATAAGTTAGATTAAATGAGTATAATTCACAGTAGCTTATTTGATCTTTATTCTTGTCATCTGATTATTTCATGTCGTCCTAATTGAATTTAATTGATATACTTCTCCTATTGATTAAGATTACATAAATTTAATATAATTATTAATATTAATCTAAAAGATAATTATGAATTAATTTATAGAATGATAAAAAAAGTATCTTTTTAAATAGACACTTATTATGTATGAGTCAGTATTATTTTTAGATAATAATTATCAATTATTTAAGAATGATTATTAAAAGGATAATTTAATATTTGGTTATATTTATTTATTCTTATTAAAGTAAAATATAAGCATTCTTCCTTTGAATTATAAATATAATAAACATCATAGCTTTATTTTTATTGTAATTTAATATTGAATCTATAGGTTGAAAGGGCACCACGAAAAGTTAATGTATTAATTTTATTTAATTAACTANCTCCCTTACATAGATAATAATGCATTTGCAAATATCATTGTACTTTTATGTAAATGCAATATAATCAGAGATAGCTTCACGATATGGAGGTCATGTAATACTACCAGAATAAACAACAAGAAGTCTATTCTCTTTATGACACTGTATCATTAATTTTAATAGTGAAACTTTCTTGTTTTCTAAATTTACTAATTAAATATCAGGTGGCTCTTAATTTAAAGCTACTCTGCATCCTTTCATTACATTATTTCTCCAAAAGAATACTTAGTTTTTCAATTCAGGATCATTTCTGAATTTCTAAGTTAATACATAATATAATTTATGATTTGTAGGACAATCATCATATCCATATTATTTAAATATTTTTGAACGAATCATTTCTTCTACATTACCAGAATATGATTTATACAAATCTTAATAGTTCTTATCCAATCTCATTTACTAATTATATAAAATATATATGTAACTTATTCTTTCAATATTATTTCAAAGAATACTTATTTATCATCTGGAATCAATTTGATATTTTTATCCTTTGATTCTTATTAAATCTCTTCATAAGTTAGATTAAATGAGTATAATTCACAGTAGCTTATTTGATCTTTATTCTTGTCATCTGATTATTTCATGTCGTCCTAATTGAATTTAATTGATATACTTCTCCTATTGATTAAGATTACATAAATTTAATATAATTATTAATATTAATCTAAAAGATAATTATGAATTAATTTATAGAATGATAAAAAAAGTATCTTTTTAAATAGACACTTATTATGTATGAGTCAGTATTATTTTTAGATAATAATTATCAATTATTTAAGAATGATTATTAAAAGGATAATTTAATATTTGGTTATATTTATTTATTCTTATTAAAGTAAAATATAAGCATTCTTCCTTTGAATTATAAATATAATAAACATCATAGCTTTATTTTTATTGTAATTTAATATTGAATCTATAGGTTGAAAGGGCACCACGAAAAGTTAATGTATTAATTTTATTTAATTAACTATGGATAAGATACTATAAAAATAAAATTATACATTAATTATTGATTTTCCCTATTAAAAATTTGATTCATTGTAACAATTATTCTATTATAATTTATTTTACAGTTTTGTTTTCTTTATTAAATCTTAATTTAAATAGATTTAGTACTGTTATTCCTATAATAATCCAAGTTATAATTTATTATCAAGTCAATTAATATAGTTCATAGATTTTATATGATTATTTTAAATATTATTAATAATGTAAAAATTATGATTAATTGGCCTGCAATGAAGTTTGTTAAAATGAACCTAAACTAAAATATATTATATTAATTTATGATGATTAAATATTTAATGAAAATGTAGATTCATTCATCATATTTTAGAAGTACTAAAATTTTATTTTCGTGGAATTTATTTTTAATAATTTTCTGTGGTAACATTTAACTGAGAAAGTAACATTTAACTACGTTATATTAATAATATTTCTTTTTGATTAATATCTTAAATTATTCTTTTTGGATTATTAGTTTCATAATCTTCCTGTTGGGTCTCTAAAAATGATAAATAATAAAATTATTTACTCGATCTCACATTTTTATTAATTATTTTTTATTTTGATTCTGAATTAGATCTTTCTAATTCTTAAGCATTTTTAGAATTTATCTTAGGTAATCCATCATTATTATCGTTTAATTATTCTATTTTAAATTTTATATCTTATCTATTAATATAAATTATACTGACTTTTATTATTTCAAATCTTGAATGTTGTTTGTCATTGATGTTAATTTTGCAGCTTTCATTTTTTAACTTTTTTAGAGTTAAAAATTCATAGCATAAGCATCTTTTGATATATTGGAAGGTAAACTTTATTTATACTTAACTTTATTCATTTTATTCTTAATTTTATCTTAAACTTCAGTTGGAAGAAATCCCATACCATTATAAAGAAAATTTTAAGAAATATGTTCATTTTTAGTTCTAAAGATATTATTGATTTTTTTAAAATTTTCAATCTCTAATGATAAATATTTAACAATTTCATTAGTTTTTAATAATTCTCTTCTATAACTATCTAATAAATATTCTTTTGATTTTGCTTATTCTAATAAATCTGTAGTTTATTTAATAAATAGTTCATGATCAGCTTATTATTCTTTGAGTTTTTTTTTCTCTAACATAAGTTTTTCTTAATCTAACAAATGTTAATTATTTAAGTTTTCCACTTCCTATTTATGAATTAATTTCAAATTTTCTGATAATTCTAATAGTCTTTTTTATTCAATTTAATTTTCAGTTTTTAATTGATGAAGATCTTCTTAAAATTTCTTTTAAAGCTCCAATTATTCTTAATCTTTAGATTTTAATCTTAGATTTAAATCTTCAATTAACATTTCATACAATTATTCTGAGTCAATATAATTCTTAATACTCTAATCTTTTTCATTAATTGTTTATTGCAATTAAGAGATAAGTAAATCTTTAGTTAATAATTCTTATTATAATTACTATTAAAAATCTCTTTTCATTTATTCAATAAGTTGTTGATGTTTAACTTTTGAAATTTTCATTAAATCCTACATGTCATTGATTTCATCTTAACTACATTTAATTTTAAATTCAAACTCTTCCTTAAGTCTAATAATTTCATTCTTACATCTTGCTAATTATGCATCTGTTGTATAAAAAGAAGATGTATTAGAATCAGTTTCAACTAAATCACATTGTACTCCAAAATCTTCTTAAATAATCCATGCTCTCTAAGTTGTCTATAAAGATTTATTCTATGAGATATTTTTATTTTGTAATCCATCATTATTATTTCTAAAGGTTGAAACTGCTTCATTAGATACTATTTTAATAATAGATATTTATTAAATAGGTTAATCCTCAACTATTGATTATCTTCTTGTTTACTGAATTGATTAAGGCATTTCTTGTCTATTATTTTCAACGTATTATTCAATTGTGGTATCTTCAAATGAAAATTCATCTTTTTATATAGATGTTCTTTTATAAGATGATTATGCTCCTGATTCAGGATTGCTAGTTTACTTTAATACTTCTCTTTATCTAATTGCTTACCTTTATTATTAATTAATCTTTTATGATTGCAATTTATCAGGAGATTAATTTTTATTTGATTAAACTATCGATCCCTATTTTCGGGCATTCTCTCTTGTTCCTGGTTGAGTTTTATCATTTTTCAATCTCTTAATCTATTCACTATATATATTTTTGTAATACTTCAATTAATCAATTATTGTGTCTTTCTGAAGTAGTTTAGAATCCTTTGCTTTCATTTATTCATCAAAAAGAAATACTTTATATTTCTGATCTTGTACATCTTTCTCTAAACTTGTAATGTATGGTTAAAATCTATCTATTTAAAATTATAAGATTTTATTTTTTTCAATATATTACAAAGATTAATTTCTATATTCTTATAAATCCTCTTTTAATTTTTATATTTAATTATCCAATTTTATTCTTTATGATTAAATCTTATATTCGTATTCATTTATCAATTCCATTTTTGCCTCATTTAACTTAGAACTAAAGACTTCCAACTATTTTAAATAAGATCTTCTTTCATTCTCAAATTTCTCCATTTGATCTTACTTTTCAAACTTCACCTAAGTTAATTCTTCATTCAATTTCTGAGTCTTTATTTCCAATTCCTCTTTATAATACTTATGCAAATTATATTCATTTAATTTTACTTACATAATTTAAGAATGAAGATCTTCAATTCTCATTTGCTAAAATATAAATTAGATAAATATACCAGATTATTTTATCTTTGCTCATTCAACAATTTTTGTTATTTATGGTACTCATTCATTTTTCTGTTTTAATCTATCAACTATTATTTTTCTATAAAATGTCTTTCTGTTTCTTTCTCCAAATTCTCTTTTAATTGTTTAATACTTAATTAAAATGCAGATTTAGCATCATTATTATCAATTATTATATCATTCAATCTAATTATTTCCTCTTTTTATAAATACTGTAATACCTTCTAATAAATCACATATTTATTTGAAATCTGCCACTGCCTTTATTAATACTCTGTCTTCTCCATTTGGACCAGTATCACTAATAAGGTTAGCTAATTATAATTTTCTTTCCTCCATATAGAAATTAAGACTGATAACATCTTATTTTAACCTAGTGTTCTCATTAAATAGAGGCTACATAACTCTTGTTATTTACCTTCATTTATGCTTAAAATTGAGATGCATTTAGTTCCAAGGCTTTAATTTTATGATTGGTGATTTCGTCATCTTCAGGAAATTTAGTGAAAGTATTCATATTTAATTAATATAATTTTATAACTAATAAACTTAATTTTATAATTGATGATTCAAATATTTTTTTTTTCATCTTTTACTAATTTAATGATGGCTTAAACAAATGCAATTACCCCATCAAATTCATTTTGTAAAATAGTAGAATCTAATTCTAATTATTATAAGACAGAGCCTTATTCTCTACCTTTTAAAGCTAAACAAAGTTAATCGATTGCTTATTTGAATTATGGACTTATAAGGTTTTCCTTAAAATATTGAATACTTTATTAATCAATTGGCAAATATCTAAACTATTAAATTTAATACTTTTTCAAAGCTTCAAAATAATCTTCATCTTATGAAACTGTTAATAGAAAATCATTACTAAGAATGTCTACTAATTCTAGATCTTTATTTGTATATTTATATAATTGCTACTATAATAAATCTAATAACTATAATGAATTTATATTTATTAATGGTTATGATTATATGTTTGGACACATTCTATTATTTGCTGAAATATATTCTGGTTATTCAGAACTGATTTGCAATTACTCTTCTAATTATGATAGATTATCAATAATTTATGAATTGACAATATCATTGAATTTTTTAATTTATTTTTCATCTTAGCTAACATCTTCATTCTACTTAGGGTTAGTATATATTTTCGATTACTTGCATCCAAAAAAAATACTTTGAATCTTCATCTGTTATTTTGAGTAAATAAACTCTATATTATCCTTTAACTTTCTCAAAAATAGTTGTACCTTTAAAAATTATTCTTTCCTAAAATATTTTATAATTTATACTAATTCCAATCTATTATTGCTATCTAAATTATACCATTTAAGGCATAATTCATTTTCATCATTCAAAATTAAATTTAGTAAACCTTTAGATTTTATCATTACAACTTTTTTTGTTTCAGAGTTATAATCAAATCTTCCACATGGAATTTTTACCTCTTAATTCATAAATTAATAATTAATTTAATTTTATGATAGTCATGACATTAATGTATTAGTATTAATTATTTAAAAATAAATGATTAATAAATAACGAATATTATACTTTAACAATTATAATCATTATATTTTGGCTCTTTAGAATCTCATAAAACCAATAGCATCTAAATCACTTTAAATAACTTTAAATTTTTTAATCTATATTTTCTTCTTTTTAGAGATATCATTATCAATTCTCTTTAATTATGCAATCTCTTAATCACAACATGTTATAAGAGTACTCATTGAATTATTATTACTATAATTAGTGTGTATATGTTAAATTTTTTCTTTGATTCTTTTTAAGATGTTATTTGTATTATGGATTTTTGGGTTACTTTTAGATTTAGATTTTTCTTATGTTTACATACTGCTATGTATTAATTATGATGAATTTTATAATAGTGATAGTTTACGTGAATGAATCCTTTAATCAAGAACTGATGTATCAACCAATCCCATACGATTTAATTATTTTTCAACATTTTTTTTGATTCTCTAAAGTTTATAATATTCTTAGAGACCATATTCAATTTATTCTTTTTCATATAACTGACATTCTAAATTAGTTTTTTTACGAGCACCTCTTACTGGTGATGAATCAATTTGATGTTTAATCTTCTTTCTTTCATCCTATTTTTTGTTTTCTTATTAAGATGTAAATCTCTCTTTCATTTACTCAAGCATTGCTAAATGAGATTGTTCTTAATAAAAAATTGATTTTCTCTTTTCCAATCTCTTTTAATCTTCTATATTACTTGTTTCAAATAATTCTTTCTCTTTTTAATGTAAATGATCCTACATTTAATCTACTAATTTTTCTATTAATTCCTTCTTAGTTAACTAATCTTTCTGGGGTCTGTTTAAAAAAATAAATACTTCACTTTATTATGCAATTTTTCTGCTTCTTATAATTACTTTTCAAAGACATTATGCACTTTATTTTCATAGTTCTCCAAAATACTTGGTTAGATTTTACTTTGAGATGAAACTCTTCTTTTATGACAAGCTATTTTTGTAACAAAGTCATCAAAATACATACCAGGCTAATAATATTCATATTAAGTAATACTGTAACAACTTCATATTTTAACTTGAACTTTCTCTTTGTTGTAGGAGAATTAGACATTAAATATAATATTAAATGTTAAGTATAATTAGTTCCATATGGATATTGTCAATATTATAATTTATATGAAAATCATTAAATTATTGCTTAGATTCTTAATACTGAAAATAGATTTTTAAATCTTTGAATTTATATTATAATTATTTTTTAATTAATCAACATGGGTCAAGAACAATCAAAATTATTCAAATGTCAACCTTGTACCTTAAATTACAAATATGATGATCATGTAAATTACCATACTTATCTTTAGGATATTCAATTGAAGTTTGATCCTAAATAAAAGGTTGGCTATACAAAACCTTTACGTTTTCAAGAAATCACACAAATAAATCCAGCATTACGTGATTTGGATTAAAGTAAAATTTAGAAAATCTATTTTAGATCTCTTAATATAACTGTAGTTTTTACATGAATAAGCACTTAGATCAAAAATTTTCGATTCATTAAAGAAATGTGACGATATTATTTTATTGTACTAAGCGACAAAATTTGTTATTAATTGCACTCCTAATGAATGTTAATAACTCATTAACACTTATAACATAATTACCAAAATAACATAAGAATAACAAAAAGACTTAGATAAATAAATATTAATAATCATTATCATTCATAATATTGTTGGTAAACTACCCTCAATAACATTGGAACAATCACACATATCTTGGTTATTTAGACATATGAATCCTTATAATGCTTTCAATGTCTCCTTAATTTTATAGATATTAGCAGATATATGCGTTAATTAAGATAAATGTATTGAAAATATAATTGAAATTCTCTAAGTACTCAAAGATGAAGCAAAATGGAGATTTGTCACTGAACCCATATTTAAAATAATGGAAGTTTAATAAAATGTATATCTTGTACGAGATGCTTGTACATTTATAAATGCTTTAGCAGAGACTCATTCAGATGATGAAATATGTGAATTAATTAAATAATCAATATAACAATATGGTTTAACAGTCTTATATGATGATATAAAATAGAAATTGAAAAATCAAGAATATTAGATCGCTAATTGTTCATATGAGTTCGCAATACAATTTTTGTATGATTCAAAGGGCAATACACATCATAGTCAAGTAGATAAATATTACTTTAATAATTTATGTGATTTTGATCCAAAAAAGCCGTTGATATTCAAATATGGAGATTTTGATGATATTTTTAATATGGATCCTGAGTATTTTGAGGTTCAAAAGAATTAACTTTAAGTTTAATTAGATGTTTATGATTAATTGATAAAACCAGTTCTCATTCCAAAATAAACAATTCTAGAAAGATAGAATCAATTGTTCCCATCTTCTATCACTAAAAAACCCAGTGAAGAAGGATTAGTTGGGGCTTTAAAAGAATTTTGGTAGACTAAAGGAAATGAGTAAACAAATTAATAAATTATATTGAATGCCATGAAAAAAGCAAATTCTTTATCTGAATTATAGGAGTTATTAATTAAATTGAATGATGAATAATCTGGAGTTTCTTTTTTGTCTAGATTAATTGAAATACTAGCAAAGAAGTTGGATCAAATAATGGCAGATTAAAAGAAAAGAGATTAAATGCTTAAAGATAGGTTAGAAGGATACAAATAATAAATTGTAAAATAAATTTATATTATAGACTTATTTATAATTAGAAATAAAGTAGAGAGGTTCATAAGAAAGTCAAAGAGATATTAAAAATTAAAATGAGAAATTAAATATTTTAATAGAAGAAAACAAAAAATTATAAGAATAAAGTTAGTAGTACTCATAACTTAAAAACAAATTTGAAGATGTGAATAATTAATTGTTAGAAGCTTAGAAAGTGATGGCAAAATCATAATAAGTAACTGAATTAGAAGCAAAATTAGAAGAATATACTAATGAAATAAATAGATTAAAAACAACACATGGTCAACCCTTATTATGTAAAATTTAACCTCTAGATGGAGGTTCAGAACCTCCACCAAATCCTTCTGAAAATATCGCGATAGTTTAATCTATTCCTTAATAAAATGCTCCACCTCCACCACCTCCTCCTCCTTCAGGTGGTAAGATTGCAGCTCCACCTCCACCACCTCCACCACCTCCTGGAGCTAAAGCTGGTGGTCCTCCTCCTCCACCTCCTCCTCCTGGTGGTAAAGCTCCACCTTTACCAAATGCTAAACCTATAGTTCCTACAAAACCTAAATGTTAACCCTCTGTTCCATTAAAAGGATTAAGTTGGAATATTTTAAAACCAGATTAAATTGGAAATTCTGTTTTTTAAGGAATGAATGAAACTGAAATCAAATTTGATGTTAAATCTTTAGAAGAAAAATTTGCATCAAAACCAGCCAAACAAATTTAATAAAGTATTGGATAAAGTATTGGATAAAGTGATAAAAAAAAGGAAGTTTTAAAAATAACTTTACTAAGTGCAGAAAGAACAAAAAATATAGAATTAATTTTAGGTAAATTAAGAATGAGTAATGAGAAAATTAAGAATGCTTTGTTAGAATGTGATAAATCAATTTTAAATCTTAATGTTATAGAGTCTCTAATAAATGTTGTGCCAACAGATTAAGAAAGATCTTTATATGCTAATCCAGAAGAATTAGACAAAGAGACCTTATAAATAGCGGATTTATTTTATTTAGAGTTATGCTAAGTTCCAGGATGTGGTGATAGAATGTAGGCTATTAAAGCTGAGTTTGTTGGAATAGATATGTATAAGGAATGTAAAGAGAAATTGAATTAATTAAAAAAAGGATTTGAATTCTAGAAAAATGATGAAGCTTTTAAATTGTTAATTAAGTGCACTTTAGCTATAGGTAATTATGTAAATGGAGATTCTGCAAGAGGAGGGGCTTTTGGATTCAAAATAGATGCAATAACAAAAGCTGCAGATATAAAGAGTATAGATGGAAAAGAAACATTATTAATGATTATAGTTTAAGAGTGTGAATAAATATATGAAAAAGAGGGAAAGGGTTCATTTTTTTCAAATGATCGTATGGATCTTCTTGATTTTATGTGTAAATTACCAGTTTCTTAGATTAACATAGATATAAATGAAATTAAGAAAATTTAAAAGTTTGTCTAGAATGCTATAAAGAGTTAATCCAATCTTCCAAACGATAAGGTAAGTAGATTTGAAGAGTTTTCATAATAATTATTATTATAAATCACAGAGTTATCCTAATAATTGGCTTTATGTGAATAATTATACAGTGGTCTTTGCCTTTTTTACTGTGAGAATCCAAAAATTTTATAAAGTGATGTATTTTTCTAATCAATTTAATAAGTTTGGAATAATTGTATAAAAGTATATTAATTTAATTATAATAGTCTAAACAACAAATAGAAAAGATATAATAGATGAAAATTAAAGAAGAATAACGAAATAAATTAGATTAACAAAAGAAACAGTAATAGTTAAATAATAATGCATAAAATATGTATGAGTCATTACCTAGAAGAATTGGAGCATTACAATAGCTATAATAGTCTTTGCCAATTGATGCAGTTAATTAATTAAGAATGATGAAATAAAATAAGAATGAAAATAGCTGATTTTAATCATTTATGTAATGATATATCATAATAAATCTTCAAATGTTGGTTCAAATTCATCTTAGAATGCTCTATTCATCAACATTTTGATGCTCTACTCTTTAGAATATTTTCTTTTAATAAAGTCATGTAAAATGAGAGTCATAGGCATGTCGATGTTATTTTCTTAGGCCTATTTATAAACTAATTCTAAAGTTGGCCATCCTTCAACAACTCCTTTAGATTCTTTTAATATGTCTTCAACTTTTTCTCCTTTTCCTACTTTAACTCCAAAAGATCTATTCCTGCTTAATGATCCAAAACCTAAAAATAAAGAGAATAGTTATAACTTGTCAACATAAGATCTCCAAATCCAGCTAGACCATAGAATGTATGTTTTGAAGCTCCATAAATTCTGGCAAATCTTTACATTTCTCCAACACTTCTAGTAACATAGGCTGTTTATGTATTGATTCCGAAACCTGCACCTTCTAATACGCCTGTTCCTATAGCCACTAAATTCTTCAATGCTCCAGCTAATTCTACTCCTACAACATCACTTTAAGTAAAAATTCTTAAGAAATTTCCTGACAATCCTAATTAAATCAATTTTGAGGTTTTATTATCCTAACTAGCTACAACAACACATGATGGATCTAATTTATGAATGAATTATGTACTATTTTACATAAGTTCTGCTGCAAATGAGGGACCACTTAGACAAGCGTATCTTAATCTTCCATCGAATTCTTCACTCAACATTTAAGAGATCAATTTTCCAGATTTTAAGATTATCCCCTTTGAACAAGAAACGAATGGAACCTTTGTATCAATGTACTGTTTGTTGGCCTAAACAAATGGATGGATCTCTTGGGTTGGAATGCAACAAAGCACATAATTAGCCTCTTTAGTAGTAGTTGGAGAGACATACGGTGGAGGGCTTGTTATAAATCGGTAGTGGCAGTGATATCAGGATGCAAAGTAAAGTTACTAAGAAACTTTGGATTCTTGTGTTCTTGGTTGATGGACTCTACTACTGCTTAGTTTCTAGCATAGATTTGGACTCGTCCTATGTATGGATTATTAATGGCACAATGAGCCATAGAAGTTCCAAAAGCACCTGAACCGAGGACACAGACTTTGTACTTGTTTGCCATAATATAAATAAATTATAGGTTAAGATTAAATAAAAATAATTATTAATTTTATGTAATATAAATTTAAAGAATATTTTGTGATTTATTAAGAACATTTGAAGAACAAAGATTAATGGAGATTCCTAATGGTCCTTGTATCTATATATCAAATCTGTGATATTATCATTGTGACAGGAGATGCCATAACTTTAGAAATTGAAGGAGACAAATACATTTTGATATATAGAATCTTGGTAATATAAATTGCCATTATAGACCCAAATATTATTGATTGCGATTTTCGAAGTGTTACTAATAAAATTAATCAAGATTAAAAATGGATTGATAAATCTCATGACCCTACTAAAATTCATAAGCTTGATTATTTGTTGGGAAGAATTGGATTATTATGCAAAGTAATAATAATTTTCAAGGATATTGGATAAATATTTGATTTTAGTGTGTTTTGTTTTTGCAATAGAATCATAGGTTTGTTAGACATTAGCAATAATCTTCAATCTCATTTATACATTGTTAAGGAACTTTGAAATGGATTCAAAATTAACTATCATATTAGGAATTAAAATAATTGTGATTCATGTCTTACTTCAATTGATGATGATCATAATCAACAAAAAGAATAATAAGAAAAATTCAAATTCCTAATTAGTAACTTTGGGTTCTAATACCAAAATGAGTTATACTTATTTGAATTCTTAGAGAATATCTAATCCTAATAGAACTCTTCATTAATTATAAATAGATATACCTGAACATCGCTATTTTTCATAAATGCCACATGAATAAAGATTAGATGATTAATAAACTGAATCAATTTAATAAGATCAATTAAATGAAGCAATACTAACATCAGCAGAATTTGGAATCTATTTGATAGAAAATTTGAATAAAAATGTGTAAGTTATAAATTCTTAGTTATCCAATATTGTAATGAAAGAAGATTAATTAAGTGCTCAATTCCTTGAAACAGAATTGTATGACTTTGGATTACTTCTTGAAGAATCATGTTTATTATTACCTAAATTCCATAGAAGTTAAGACATTGCCTAATTCATTAAATTCACATAAACTTTAGAGTATTTTTATAAGTTTATATTGTTGAGTTCCATCTAATTTAGATAATCAAATAGAGAGTGATCCTTCATAAATTAAGAGATTACAATTACTAACAAAAAAAATATCATTTAAAGCCTTTTTCGATAATCTAATTGCTTTTAACCATTTGAAATTCTTAAATAATCATTCATCTATTGATTTCTCCCTCAAAATTTATATCAAATTCGAAACTTGTTATTTATCAGTTGTTTTATCACCAATCCTTTATAAATAAAAACCCTAAATCGTGATTTTTGTATCAGATATTACAGAAGATCCCTATATCACTTCATTATTGAATGCTAACAGAAATAATGATTTTTTGATAAGTGATATATCCCAAAAGATTAAATAGCCACTTAATTGTACTATTTCAATGTTAGAAATTATTATGGTATGTTTTATATCTAATTATTAAGAATACTACACCAACAGATATTAAAGAAAAATATATAAGTCCAGCACTTGCAGGATGTAAATTATTAATTAATACTGCTAATGATATTTTAGATTATGCATAATTACAAAAGAAAGATAAATTGGATTTAATTTAGGTCGATATTTAAATCTAAGAATTTATAACAGATATCATCAATGTAGTCAAATCTTAAGCCATTTTTAGAGGATTAAAAATATCTATTAATATAAAATAGAATGTCCCTTAGTTTATAAGAACAGATCCAAATAGATTAAGATAAATCTTACTTAATTTATTAGTCACTTCCATTTAAGCAACAGTAAGAGGAACCATAATATTTAGTGTTTATAAAAGTCAAATGTTAAATGAACACTTAGAATTTGTTGTAAAAGTCAAAGCTCATGAAACCAATTTCTCAATTCTTAAAACTATTGAAAAAACAGTTCGATTCTTCAAATCATAAACTTTAAAATCTAAAATATTAGATCTAGGTAGTCTTAGATAATATTCATAATCCATTTTGATTTCTTTTTATTTAACAAAATGTCTCTCTTAAATACCATTTGAATACAACTATGAACGTGTTGGTAATAAAGAAGAATTCAATTTTGCCATTTAAATAAAAAACCTTTATCCATAATTTAATCAAAATGTGAATTAAAAAAGATTGTCTGAATTTACAAATTAGTAAAGTTTCTATTAATAGTATCAAAATAAAGAAGGGTTAAAGAGATATTAATCTTAAATCTCTAGTTTATTACCAGAAGATTCTAATATTAAATTGGAACTCTAAGAAGCAAAAAAAAAATTAACCATTAATATTATTTAAAGTTAGAGTCAAGAATCTTAGGAAAAATAAAATTAAATTCAAGAATAACTTAATGAATCAGTTGAAAGTATTTCTGATTAATAAGATGATGAAGTATCAATAGAATCTAAAAATGGCATTTCTAATAGAGTGGAATAAATGCTCAAAATACAACCGTATTTTTTCGATTATGTCAATGAAACTCAAAAAAAAATAGAGGGTATAAGTTCATAACCATCCTAATAATTAACATTCGGAGGCCTAGGATAAGGTAGATCCTCTATCTATTCTTCTTTATGTTTTACTAGTGGCACTATGTAACCTAATGATCTTTTGGATTGCTTTGAGAAAATGGAAAAAATTAAATAATAAAAAAATAAATTTAATTGTCGAGTATTATTATTTTAATAATTAGTGTCCTAAAATATTAATATGTGAAAATATAGATCTTGATCTTTATGCCTTATCCCATTAATTAACGAATATCGGAATCACATATGAGTATATAACTTAGAAATCTCAATTAGTAAGCACTCTTGTTAAACTATTAAATAGCGATTTGTAATAATAGTTAAATAGTAATTAATAAAAGTAGAATATTGACAATTAATAATTAAAGGTCATTAATGATAATTCTTAAATGAAGAACAACGAAAATTAAGTATGTTGTAAAGGATTATAACTCTTATTTATTGGCATAGAATAATTTGAAGATGAATTAAATATTTTATTCAATTCTATTAAAGAAGTCTATGCAGAATTCAAAGTGGAACCTAGAATTATTGGATTGATTGGTTGTATGGATGAAGAAAATAGAGCCTAAACTAGAAAACTACCTTTTCATGATTATTTGTCAAAACCAATAATGATTGATGCCTTACTTTTTATTTTAGCCAAATGGATCAAAATGAATTGATGTTAAAATTAAATATATTTAATAAATGCTTTAAACTTATAATTACTATTTTACTAATTACTTCAGGAATTGACCATAATTGTGCTAAATTAGTTGAGGAATCTTTAATACAATTTTCTAAAATGAAAGCATTAGTAATTGGATTAAATTCAACTAAGGGTTTGTTGGTTTAAGGAAAATTAATGAAAAAGATAATAGAATTATTTGCTAAAACTATATAAATTATTTATCTAAACTTTAGCAAAAGATTACCAGCCGGCTATTAATTGTTATCAATTATAAATAAGATATTTGTTGATAAAGCATCTTTAATTGATTTCATTGGAGTAATTTATTTGAATTTGTAAATTTATAAGTTAACTAGAATATTAGGTTTTGACCTGAGAAAGTTTTCTTCAAATAAATAAATTGGTTTTAAATTATATATAAGAATAGAAGATAATAATTTTTTATTCTAGTTATAGATATCATCCACAATAATAAAAATAAGATGCCGATGTTGAAGATTTAATTTATTTTCAATTTTTATGGCAAAGTATTGTTTTAATAGGCTGCTTCAATAATATTTTCATCTAACTTTTAAATCTTTTGTTAAGAAGAAACAGAATCTAGAATCTCTTTTTTAGAATTGATTTTCTACAAAAATCACTAAATTTAGAAACTATATATTATCAATGATTTAGGCTATCAAGTTCATCATCACATCTATGAAAACCTAATTTATTCTCACATTCCGCTCTCAATGTTAATAATCTATTCATTTAGCATTATATATATAATTTACTTATTATTATAATTAAATGATCAACTCTTCTTTGTTCAACAAACCTAAATAGAGATAAATCTATTTAATTTATGCTTCACGTAATTATACACAACCAAAATCAACTCCTCGCACTCATCTTAAATTACCTAATTGTTCTCCTTAACTTAGAACCAATGATAACAAATAAAAAAAAAAAAATAGTTTCTTTATAAATAGAATGCAAAGATCATAATAATAAAGCCCTATTATCAGATAATAAATTCGAAATAGAGATTCGAGTGAAAGCTTCATGAAAGATTTGGAATTGTCAGGAAATGAAGATTTGAAAGACATCAATAAAAGTTTGTTATTAACTTCTTAAGAGATTAATAAGAAGATGTAATTTAATATAGAATCCTATCTAAATAATACTCTCAAATAAAAAAGATTCAATCAAAATCTAAATAATTTAATTGATTTTGATTTGACTTAAGACAATAGTTCATTTCATTCATTTGAATTCTCAAGAAGTCGTAGAGAAACACCTCTTCAACCAATCAGAGTTTATCAAAAAAAGTGATAATTTTTTGTGTAATATATTACTCATAGCTTCATAAATTATTCATAATCTAAGAATAATGGAGAATTATCATAAGAAAGGCTTGTTGTTTTTCTAGATTCAAATTCTATTTTCTATAATTAAGTTGCATTTTAAATCATTAAATTTGTTAGAGGATCCTCCTTGTAATAATTTAATTATTGAATTAATGTATTAAATAATTTTTCTAAAGCAATTTATGAGTAAAAATCTTGCTAAACCTACATTAAAGTTTAAATATTTTCTAAATCTTTCAATAGTTTATGAATCTACTTATTTATAAATTTATTTTTATTGAATTTGCTGTTGTTTTATTGATTTTGCAATTCAATTTATTTAATATCATTTCTATCCTATTATATAGATTTATGAATAAAGATAGGTCCAACATTTTCACAAGAGATCTTGTTCTCCTTCTTTATACTTGGTCTTTTTGGAGGTTATGATTATTGTCTTTTTAAATTAGGTAATATTTAAAAGTTGTTTAATCCTATCCTATTTGTACCTTCCTCATCTGATTCAACCAAATCGAAACTGTTTTTCTTGCCAAATTCAATATTTTATTCTTTTTGTTTAATTTATTATTTTTGTTCTTCTTTGATAGGTTATTCAATTGATAAACTATTTGATTTTAAATATTGTTTAAGAATATGATTTCTAATAAAGATAAGTTCTAAAACTGAAATAAGTTTGCTTAAAGTGAAATTTTTTTGGATGATATCAAAAGGTCTTTTTTGTTCCTCATTATAAGTAAATAACAAATAAGGATTGAGAGAGAAAAGTTATAAAATAATTTTAATGTTTTCACTCTTAGCAGCAAAATGCATAACTAATTACATAAATACTGGTACCTGAATTACATTTGTGGCCCAATAATTTGAAAGAAAAAACATCACGTTAAAATTATTCATTTATTGATATAGCAAAACGTAATGCAGAATAAGAGGATTTCTTAATTGCTAAATGCAAAGGGGTATTATTATTGATATTCCTTAAATTAGGATCTGCACCTTTTTCAATAAGTAAATGTCCTATTCTTGTGGCTTCTTATAAATTTTTTTTAAAAGATGGGATAAGATTATGTAAAGGGCCATTTCCTTTTTTATCTTGTTTGTTAATTTAGACTTTAGAGCTTAATATATCTCTAATTAAGTAATATTGCATTTTATTAACAGCCTAATTGAGTACACTATTGAATTCTCCTCTATAAATAGATATAATGAAATACCCTCCTATATTAAGATTTGTAGAAGCATTAATTAAAATTTTGGCACAGTGATACTTTTCTTCTTTGATTGCTAATGAAAGAGGAGTATGAGAAGCATCATCTAATTATGCAGATAATTCAAATCTGATATTTAAAAGAGCTCTAACAATTCCTATGTCTTCATTTTCAACTGCAATATGCATTAGATTTGATCCATTATCAGAGATTTCGATATCTAATCCAATAGTTTTAGTTTATATCATTTAAGAACTGCTAGTCGATTCTTAAAGAGTTAATTCAGTATTTCTTTGAGTTGCTCTAGTAATATTAGACTATTTTGGAATTTATACAGTAATTGAATCTTGAATTTAATCATCGTAGTATTTTTGATTGAATACTAAGTAATCATGACAAAGTATGAATTCATTATCTTTAAAGAGCTAATGCATTTAATCCCAAAATCTTAAGAGATCATCAGAAATCAACATGTCTTTTTCTAAGATTAAGAATAATTAATTTTTTACTTGAAGCAAAATAATTATGATTAGTATATTTAATCCAATCTAAACCAAATCCTTTTAATTGTTTTTCTAAATTCAATATAGAATTAGGTATTTTAGTAAAATCATTGCTTCTCAAATCAACAATTTTAATCAATTCCAATTAAAATAATTCGTCTGGTAATATACGAATATGATTTTTGCCAACATCTAATCTTTCTAATGATGATTTCCATTTATCTCCAAGTCTAAGAGTCTTTAACAAATTATTATTTAGATTAATATGCGAAAGAGATAGTTCAAATAAACAACTGGGTACTTCTTAAAAGAGATTATTAGCCAAATTAATAATCGATAAACGAGCATATTGTCTGATACCTTCATGTAAAGCAGTCATTTTAGAATTCGAGAGATCTACTACTCTTACATTATGATCATAACTATTTATTAAATTCAAATTCTGCATCTTTACAATATACTTTGTATAGTTTTTCTTAATCAATGACATTTATCTATCAAAATCTGAATGCTTTATACGTTTAATTTTCTTTTTAGCTTGTTTCATCGAAATCAAGGACTCCTTTTTACTTTTCTTTTATGGAATACTCATCTTTAAGGTTCATGTCCTTTCTTTTCTTAAACTGCATCTGATCTTATTCATATTAATGACAGGTATTTTCATATGATTACAATGTATTATTCATAACTGATTGAAATATTTTTAATTATTGATTATATGATTATATAATAGGAAATACAAAATTTTTATTAAAAAATTATATCAAACAAAGGACTAGACTAAATTAGTTAAATATATTCTCCTTATTACAAATTAAAAAGGATATTATTATTTAATTAAAATCTTTAATGAATTAAACATTAAAATTATTCTACACCCCTGAAACATATGAAAAGATAACTAATAGCAATATTCTAATAATAGGTGTTGGAGGAATAGGATGTGAATTGTTGAAAGTCTTAACCAATAGTGGTTATAGAAAGATTGACAATATTAGATTTGGATACCATAGAGGCTACAAATTTAAACTGATAATTCTATTTTAGAAAGGAACACCTGGGTATGAGCAAGGNTTAAAGAGTTAATTCAGTATTTCTTTGAGTTGCTCTAGTAATATTAGACTATTTTGGAATTTATACAGTAATTGAATCTTGAATTTAATCATCGTAGTATTTTTGATTGAATACTAAGTAATCATGACAAAGTATGAATTCATTATCTTTAAAGAGCTAATGCATTTAATCCCAAAATCTTAAGAGATCATCAGAAATCAACATGTCTTTTTCTAAGATTAAGAATAATTAATTTTTTACTTGAAGCAAAATAATTATGATTAGTATATTTAATCCAATCTAAACCAAATCCTTTTAATTGTTTTTCTAAATTCAATATAGAATTAGGTATTTTAGTAAAATCATTGCTTCTCAAATCAACAATTTTAATCAATTCCAATTAAAATAATTCGTCTGGTAATATACGAATATGATTTTTGCCAACATCTAATCTTTCTAATGATGATTTCCATTTATCTCCAAGTCTAAGAGTCTTTAACAAATTATTATTTAGATTAATATGCGAAAGAGATAGTTCAAATAAACAACTGGGTACTTCTTAAAAGAGATTATTAGCCAAATTAATAATCGATAAACGAGCATATTGTCTGATACCTTCATGTAAAGCAGTCATTTTAGAATTCGAGAGATCTACTACTCTTACATTATGATCATAACTATTTATTAAATTCAAATTCTGCATCTTTACAATATACTTTGTATAGTTTTTCTTAATCAATGACATTTATCTATCAAAATCTGAATGCTTTATACGTTTAATTTTCTTTTTAGCTTGTTTCATCGAAATCAAGGACTCCTTTTTACTTTTCTTTTATGGAATACTCATCTTTAAGGTTCATGTCCTTTCTTTTCTTAAACTGCATCTGATCTTATTCATATTAATGACAGGTATTTTCATATGATTACAATGTATTATTCATAACTGATTGAAATATTTTTAATTATTGATTATATGATTATATAATAGGAAATACAAAATTTTTATTAAAAAATTATATCAAACAAAGGACTAGACTAAATTAGTTAAATATATTCTCCTTATTACAAATTAAAAAGGATATTATTATTTAATTAAAATCTTTAATGAATTAAACATTAAAATTATTCTACACCCCTGAAACATATGAAAAGATAACTAATAGCAATATTCTAATAATAGGTGTTGGAGGAATAGGATGTGAATTGTTGAAAGTCTTAACCAATAGTGGTTATAGAAAGATTGACAATATTAGATTTGGATACCATAGAGGCTACAAATTTAAACTGATAATTCTATTTTAGAAAGGAACACCTGGGTATGAGCAAGGTATAATTAAATTGATTAAGAGTATAAAAATAAATTGATTAAGCATATTGAGAAATTTAAAAGTAGGCTTTAGTGGGTAAAGAAAGTGTAATGAGGAAACATCCTGATTTGGATATCACAGCAGTTCATGGATCAATATTTGATGTTATTGTTAATAAAGAGTTTAGAAAAATATGATGTTGAGTTTTATACATAATTTGACTTTGTATTGTGTGCATTAGATAATGCTTAGGCTCGAGAGCATTTAGGAAGAATGTGTTTAAATAATAAGAAAATTATGGTGGATGCAGGGACAGGTGGATTTAGTGGACAAGTGATAAAGAGATGTAAAAATTTGATTATTATTAGATAAATAGTTTTATATTAATGCAATAATTGTTAGCCTTCAAAAGGAGCACCATAATTTGCAGTTTGCACTATAAGAGCAAGTCCATCTTAACCAATTCATTGTGTAACTTATGCTATGGCTTTATATAATTTATTATTTGGACCATTGGATGAATCAAATGTATTGGCAGGTTTATTGGATATAGCTTAAATTTAATCATGTGATAAAAAGGATGTCGAATTAATAAAATCTTTAGGTATACGAACATTCAATAAATTATTTTATGATGAAATAAAATAGGGTTTAAAAGAGTATTCAAAAGAGGAAGAACCAAATGCAATTAATCAACATAAATATCCAATATCATTTGAGGATGGAATGAAAAATCACGAAGTTTATACAACAATTGATTAATCAAAAATGGACTAAGAAGATGATAAAGGTAGATTTTGAATAAATAATTTTAGTATAACCATTTAGCTATTATGTAATTAAGTTAGAAGTTTGGGAGGAAAGATTATTCCTGCAATAGCAAGTACAAATGCTATAGCTGCTGCTATTTAAATTTCTGAATGTTAGAAAGTTTTAGAGAAGAGATGGAACAAATTAAGAATGGAATGGATTCAACCAACTTATGAAAAGCTAGCTCCAACACTCCTAGCAGAACCATATAATACTTGTAATCATTGTAGTCATAGAAATGTTTATTTATAAATATATTGTAATTTTGATACCACTAAATTTGCAACAGTAGTATAATAGGCAAAAAGCTTTGGTTTGAATGACTATGATATTTATGGAAATTCTGGAACAGTTTATGGTTTAAATAATAAATAAATGAAAAGAGATGGATGTAATGAAAGGAATTACAATAAATTATTATCTAATTTTTATTAAAGAGATAATCCATATTCAAATTTAATATACTCTATTTATGAATAAACTTCTGGTAAAAAATATTATTGGTAATGTGGATTTAAATATGAATTTATATTTATGCATAATGTTGATATTGAAGTTCCACAAATTTCTAAAAAAACTTAATTGGAGGACGCATTCTAATAATTGAGAACTCTTAAGATACAAAGACATAAAGAACTTTAAGAGCTAAGATTAATTAATTTGGAAAGGTTTTCATTTTGAGATGAGAATTAATTTAATAGATTATTATTATTAATATTATATTAATTGAATTTACACGTGTGTTTTAGTGTTAAATAAATGGAAAAAATAACCACGTTAAATAACAATAATAAAAATGACAAATAAAACCAAGATACTCAATTATATGAGACCAGCCATGGCAATAATCCCAGATGTAGCTGAGCCTGAAAGAAGAGTAGCTATATTAAATTGATTTTAGATCTTATTTAAATACAGAGCATTATGGACAGCCATAGCAACATTGTTATATTTAATATGTTCTTAAATTCCACTTTATGGTATTTACAAATCTTCTGCTGGTGATCCATTCTATTGGATGAGAGTGATATTAGCATCTAATAGAGGAACACTAATGGAATTAGGTATTTCACCAATGGTCACAGCTTCAATGATTATGTAACTTTTAGCAGGTGCTAAATTGATTGATGTTGATTAAAATGTTAAGGAAGATAAATAATTATACTCTGGAGCACAAAAATGTAATTATATTATCTATCTTAGTATTGGGAATCTTAATTGCTTTTGGTGAAGCATTTGCTTATGTTTGGTCAGGAATGTATGGTGATTTAGACAAATTAGGAGCAGGAAATGCTATTCTTATCATAATCCAATTAGTCTTTTCAGCTATTGTAATGATTATGATTGATGAATTACTATCTAAAGGATATGGAATTGGTAATTCAGGAACATCATTGTTTATTGCTATTAATATATGTGAAAACATAATGTGGAAAGCATTCTCACCTATAACACATAAAACTTAACTTGGACTTGAATATGAAGGAGCTGTCATTGCTCTATTACATGGACTCTTTATTTAAAGTGATAAAATTAGTGCCATCTAATCAGCTATCTTAAGAGATTCATTACCTAATCTTACTAATTTATTAGCTACAGTACTTGTCTTTTTAATTGTCATCTATTTCTAAGGTTTCAAAGTAGATATTCCAATCAAAAATAATAAAGTTAGAGGTGGATTAACTTCTTATCCCATTAAATTGTTCTATACCTCTAATATTCCAATCATTTTGTAAACTGCACTTGTTTCAAATCTTTATTTCCTTTCTTAGATCCTCTACAGAAACTTTAAAGGAAATTTCATTATTCGTTTATTAGGATATTGGTAAGAATTAGAAAATGGATAAACTGTTCCTGTTGGTGGATTAGTCTATTATGTATCACCTCCAAGATCTATTTCAGAAGCAATATTTGATCCAATCCATACTATTCTTTATACTGCCTTCATTCTTGGTACTTGTGCAGTCTTCTCCAAAACTTGGATAGATGTGTCTGGGTCATCACCTAAAGATGTATAAATAATATAATAATTCTTAGGTTGCTAAATAACTTAAAGAATAAGATATGTAAATTGTTGGATACAGAGATTCATCTATGAAAGAAGTCTTAAAAAGATATATTCCAATAGCTGCTTCTTTTGGTGGTATGTGCATTGGAGCTCTTACTATCTTGGCTGATTTTCTTGGAGCTATTGGATCAGGTATTTTTTAATTCATATAATTTCTAGGAACTGGTATTTTGCTCTCGGTCACTATCATTTATGGTTATTTTGAAACATTAAAAAAGGAAAAGGAATAGGGTACATTAGAGTTGTTTTGATATTATATAGTATTTTTTTAAGTACATCACAATTATTTACAAAATATAATCAAATAAAAGAGTTTTTTAATCTTTCATATTAATTATTTAATCATAAGAAATATATTATTTTGGGTAAAAAACACACCTCAACAATCATTTCTGTCAATTTACTGATTTCTGCTATTCTTTAAAGAATCATCGTAACAAACTCTACAATTTATTTAATATTAAATTCAATATAAATGATTTACTAATCTTTTGCCTCATTCTTTAATGATATTGATAAGTTCTCATTAATTTAAATTATAGTTTAGAAGAACTCTGTATACTTTAATAACTACATCATCATCTAAACTATTTTGTTTGTTAAACAAATTTCATTTTTTCCAATAAACCTACAAAATTACTTTTAATAATAATAATAATAATTAGTTAATTTTAAGGATTGAAACTTATACTGGGTCTTTTTTATAGGAAGAAAAATTTTTTATTCTCATACTAAAGTTTTCTTCTTCAAATTATATGGAATTTTTTAATTCATTAAAATCTTTTTTAATGAATTTTCTTTTATTTATCTAATCTTCATTTTATATTATAAAAACTTTCAATCCTGCAAAACATTTTCTCATACTCTTGGTTCATCATTTAATTAATTAACTAACTGAACACTTTGTAAAATATAATTATTTTTTTTTAATTAAGTGAAATACTACTTTCTTATTTATAATTTGTGAAAGTTCTATACCAGAATTAACATCTAATGTGAGGTAAGAATAAAAACTTTCTTTATTATAAAATATTAAAATGAATTAAAGAATATATGAAAAGCAAAGCAGAAAGTCATCTCAAAATAAAAACTAAGATTTAGAATAAAACCCTAAAAGGAGATGGTCTAAACAAGATACACCAAGGAACTATGATAATATCAATAAATTATAATATAGTTTTGACTATTCCATGATAAATAGCAAATATTTATAGTAAATAAGGAACAATACTAAAATTAAATAACTTATTGCTAAATAGAAATTGGAATAGCAGAATTCCCATCTCTTTAAAATTCAACAAGATTTCCTTCTAAAACCTAAGTGGCAAAATTATTAAGATAGTTTATAATCAATGATAAATCAATAAAAATATTTTGCTTATCTTGACTATTAAGCCTCTTGATATTCATATAATCAATAAATTAACATTATTTTTTTATTATTTTTTACCTTTAGACTTTGTTGAAATACTTTATAAACTATAACATTTTTTAGACCTTAAAACAATACTTTTATTTATATACATTTATCAATTTTATATTATACTTAAAAAGAACTGCAAAATCTAAGATTACTTTAGTAATAAAATAAAAATTACCTTCCCCGTTTATCATAAGTTTTATTTAAGCTTACTATAAAAACTAAAATAAATATGTATATTCAAAAACAAATTTAAAGATTATATCATTTGATATATCTTAATAAATTAAATTTTGATTGCCCATTTTAATTATTATCATATCTTATCTTAATTCAATAGGATTATTAAAATATACTACTTAGTATCAAAATTAGAATAATAATTATAATAATGGATTTTAAATAGTGTCAAAAAGATGACCACTAAGGCTAACCAGTAACTTTTATTGTATAAGAAAACAATCATTGGACGATGTGTTGTGGAATGTGTTAATTTGAATCAAAACTGCCAAAATAATCATTCACAGCTATCAAAGATCTTGAAAAAATAAATTAAGAAACTATAGAAACTATCAATTAGTCGGAAATAATAAATTGTTTAGAACACTCATTGGAGTTGGTCAAAGATTGGTAAAGTATGTTTGAGAATTTATTATT